TGTTAGTTTTCGCATCGAGAGGTGGTTAGCTATTCATTAGTGATTTGAGTTCAAGAACGGTTCATTAAATAATCCTAATTAACTTGCTAGATTTACTAATAGTTTATTTCCTGAGAATTCCCTAAACCTGACGTTTTCCTCATCTAATTTACATCTCGATTTTAATTACTTGTTTTATTTTAATTTGCAATCTTTACTTGTTTAGCTTAATTCAAAACCTATTAGTCTATTGTGTGAACACGAGAGCTTTGTGGAATTCGACCCGAAAGTGTTACACACGATCTCTTATTTGAGAGAGTAGTCTTAGGTCTAATTTGACTCATATCACATTGCTTCAGTTCGGGTTGGATTTAGAGTGAAGAATGCTCAGGAGGGTTTTCTTATCTTCTTTATTAGGGGAGTGCACTACAGTTTACCACTACGTGAGTTGTGCGAGATTTATGGATTTGATAATGAGACCACACACGTGGCACTTCCAGAGAGGTTTGCAGGTATCCAGGACTTTTGGTATTACTTTGGCACTGGGGTCTATGACTCCAAGAGATCGGCACAGACCAACATTAGGCACACGACCTTGAGATATGTTGCTAGGCTTCGTGGCAACACTCTGTTGTGCAAGATGGAGCCTGGGAAGATGAGATGTACTAAGCTGATGTTTGATGTGTGTAGAATTTCACCCCAATATTAAAGACTACACGTTAAACTACACGTGCACATTAATCAGAGTAGTATTTTAGGATCGATCCCACAGAGAGTGTAGCTACGGGTTATTGAATTCAAAAAATCTAGCTAAGACAAAACTAAAGTTGGGGGTTTTAGTTTTGGGTTTCCTAATGACTAATGCAATGAAATAAAAAAGCAAATAAATGAAAGCTAAGTAAACTAATGAATGCATGTAAATATTCAGATGTAAACTAATATGACTAAGGCGTTGGGCGTTCAACGGTTTCTCAGGGTATCATGGTTCTCGACTAACTATTGTTTAAATCTCTAGGGTTTCTATGTTTTCATTTCTAGTTCATAACTGCGAAAGGCGAATAAACGAGTTATCCTAGGTTATAAGATAAGTCGGCAAATCTCCCGATACTCCGTTACTCATGTTCAAGATTCTCGAAGTGAACGATCCTTAAATGTTGAAAATGATCCTTTTAGACCTTGTGAGGATAACGAAGAACTTCTTGGTCCCAAAGTACCTTATATGAGTGCTATCGGTGGACTTATGTATCTTGCAAATTTCACTAGGCCATATATTGCTTTTGCTACTAATTTACTTGCAAGGTATAATTCATCCCCTACCTGAAGGCATTGGAATGGGATAAAGCACATCTTCCGTTATCTTCAAGGTACGATTGATTTAGAATTATATTATCCGAGAAACGCCGAGTTTGGTCTAGTTGGTTTTGCAGATGCAGGGTATCTATCGGAACCACATAAGTCTAGATCACAAACCGGATATGTTTTTACCATTGGAGGAACTGCAATTTTGTGGCGTTTTCAAAAGCAGACGTTAGTCGCCTATAATACCCCTGACTATGACTAGTAATCAGACGGAAGGTCGAGAACATAGAAGTGAGACCGTGACTTAGATAAATTTTTGGAAAGAAAAATTAAGTGAAGCCATGGGTGAATCATCTAACTTTACCGGAAGGATCGAAGACTAAAGAAAGTTTATTGAAGGAGTTCAAGATCAGAATAGTAGTGAATTGAAATTTAATCGACTAACGCTAAGTATGAAGAAGACTAGAATCGGCTATGGCATTAGGCAATTAAGGCTATCGAGGAAAAAATAAATTTCCACCAAGGGAATAATTTGACGGGTAAATTGGTTCACGAGTATCCCATGTTGATGATCTTGGTGTTGTGGTCTTGAATGTCCTCAAAGTGGTTCATGAGTTCATTCTTGACATCACCAACTTGTTCTTCTACACGTTTGATGTCGACGGTAAGTACATCAATCTTTGAATCGAATTCGGCTTTCATCTCCGTGAATCTTGAATCGATCTCCTTCATGCCTTTCTCTTGGCTTTCAAGTAACTGCGGCATGATCTCCATAAGTTTTTCCTCCGTAGCTTCTCTCCTTGGAACGAATGGCTCATGGTTGCGGAATGGGTAGTTGTTCGGGTGAACGTCTACACTCATTACTTCTTGCGGATAGCAGTACTCTCCATCATGGTTTGCAGCTCCATGACGTGGTGAATGGTGTCTCCCAATGGTTTGATCTCCATAGGATCGAACGGCGTGGTGGAAGACGTGAAGTGGTCGGGCAAGGGCCAGTCCGGTTGGTGTGCCTCGTGACCTGTCCGGACAGAAGGGGTCACCCCGGTCACGGGCTTCGTGGCCGGTCCAGTGGTGGCTTCTTCGGGATGGTCCGATCGGCTCAAAGTCTCCGATCCTCGGTGATCGGTACGGTGATCCTCGGGGATCCGTGTAATATTGGAGTGCTACGAACTCCGAAAGCGTGAGGTTTTGATATTCTTCGGGAAAAGCTCTTGGAATCATCCTTAAGGTTTCCTGAAACAATGAAAATCAAAACTAAAAATTAAAAAGAAAAAGTTCTAGAGTTTACCTAGTCCTTAAACTTGTGGAACTAACAATCTCTCCCCGCCAACGGCGCCAAAAACTTGATGTTGCTTGCGGTTATCAGGTTTTAAAAATCTTTAAGAACGCAATAGATAAGCTGCAAGTGCACAGCAAATCAATCGTAGTACTTAGGGTATCGAATCCAAAGGGAGAGAAGCAGTTCGGACAAAGCTTATTAAGACAATTAAAGCTAGAACAAAACAAATAAAAGGGGTTGTTGGTTGGTATCACGATTGCAAATAAAATTAAATGAGAAAACAAGTAAATAAACGAGTAAATAAACGCAAGAAAACTATGAGAGACAAACGTTGGGCATCAAGGGTATCGCAGGGGGTTCAATGATCGCTATCTAAGAAATACTAGAATTAGGTTTGTTTACTTCCAAGTCTCGGACATACGAAACACTAAGATTCGGCTTATACTAGGTTATAGGATAAGTCGGCTAAAATCCTTATACTCCGTTACTCAACTCACGCAGGCAACGACGCATATATCAAAGCAATAAGATCAAGTTCGATTCTAGTCCATAAAGCCCTATAACTAAGTGGTGTGTGCTTGTTATAACACGATACACATTCGTAAGCTAGGTCTAGCGAATTAAGAAACCTTATGAGCAACCTAAACGCTTGGGATCACGAGTTAGGACATGAATCTACCTACATGCATTAAGAAACAACTTACTTATAAAGAATACAGTGTAAACGATCAAACAAAACCCTAAGTATCGCCACTTAAACGATCGATCATATTCCCCCCCCCTTTGATTTAACCCTTTAAACCCAACTAGAAAACTACTCTAGCATGGTTAAAGAGATCATCAAAGTAAGGTTTGATAAACTCATAAGAAAGAGAAGAATAAGAACTGAATAGGGTTTAGAGAGTACTTCTTTGAATGTAGAATACAAGAGGTAAGACTTCACCTTAATAGATCTTAGAGTAATCAAGAGAAAAGAGAGAGAGATTTGGTGGAACTTCAAAGATTCAAGGGACGACGGCTGCAGCTCATGACGAGGGCAGAGACGGCTGGAGAGGCACGATTGAAGCACGGTGAAGGTGTAACACCTGTCCCGCCACAAAGGATGGGACTATATGGGGTCCCGACTATATGGTATTCATCCGGTCTTGCCAAAACGTTTCTTTCTTTAAAATTCACCAACGAACAAACTTCAAACCGCAACTTTTGAACTTACTAACCTGGAGAAAAAGGGTAAAAAAGGGTGAGTAAAACAAGTTTACTCAGTGAGGAGATCAACTCTGCCCACTGGACATACAGTAATCACGTTCCAAACATAATCAACAATCATTACTTAGCATAGATTCAGAAGGTCTATCAATCAAACAAACATGCGTTCTTCTTGCTCACAACAATATATTTTACTTTCATTTTTAGTTTTAAGTATTTTTTAACTTATGGATACTCGAGCCTCTTTTAACTCATGGCTACTCAAGCCTACTTCTGGAAGACCACGGCCCGTAGCTTGATCCTTCCCCTTATTGCTCGTCAGCGGTTAATGACCTGTATATGAACCCGTCGGTCCATTACAGTCCAACCTTCTCGAGTATCCGTCACATACTCTTTAGTTTTCTCTTTTCATATATATATATATATATACTTAATCCTTTTTATAATTTAAAATACGTTAAACATGGTGTCAAGTCATGTCACTAATGCATTTCACATATCATGTTACTAACAACCTAACTTTATCATACACACAAATTCACATAAATCATCAAAGACGATTTCCGAGCCTATACTCAGCTACTATCGAAGAGTATATAAGAAAAGAGGCTACTGCATATCCGCAAATACCACCCTTACCTTAGCCTATCGGTTGAATTTCTTGGGTTAAGACTAGCAACAACAAGAATCCGCTTCATCGACAATTTTGGTCTGCAACAGTTAAGTCAACCGGTCATGAATTAAATCATATAATTAATACCTTAAAATTATATCCATGACTTAATTACATTAACCCAAACAAATCCATGGCATCGATTTAAATTGATTTTTGGGTCTCCTCAATTACATTAATCAGACCTAAACCAAATCTAATAATTTAATAACAACACAATTCAACATCATGATCACATGATTGACTTCGGTTCAATAAAAAATACCACACTCTATCCATAATCGCAAAACACCACAATCCACACTTCACTTGACCACGATAATACGTTCCGGTTTTCTGTACTTTAATAAACATGAGATTTTCTTGGTTTATGATGGTTTAGTCTATTAATTCAATAAGAAACAATGGCTAGAAAGCCATTTTCTAGAAAAAAAATATGCTAGAATGCCACCTTCATAATTTCATTTAAATTAAAAGCTAAGGAAATGTCCAAAAGCCCTTTCAAAAGGGTAACAATTACAAAACCAACATGAAATTCACTATCTCAACAACCAAACACTCAATCGATCTCCAATTATTCCTTAAAAAAAAACACCACAACCTCATGCTCTCGATCTTGCATTACCAGCTTCAGACGAGGCTAACTTCTCTCCGCACAACCACCGTTAGTTCTCGTCTCCTCCGCTCCTCCTCCTCTTCCAGATTCACACTCGCTATCTCCGCTTCCTCGTCTCTCTCTTTCGCCAGAACTCTCGTCTCTTCTCCACTTCTCGCTATCTCCGCTTCCTCTTCTCTCTCTTTCGCCAGATCTCTCGTCTCTTCTCAATTTCTCTATTCCTCATCTTTCTCTCAGGTATGCCTCACTCTCTCTTCTAAATCTTAGCCCTGATTTAAGTATAACTTGTCATATTCTATAATTTTGCAACTTAATTTGATTCATATCTACTGGATTTTAGAACAGACATCGAATTGCGTCGGTGAATCGCAGCTTTAACTTAGTCGCCGCTACGATACAAAATATTCAGCTTGGGATCCTGATCAGTTGAAAAGTGCTAGAGAAGACATCAAAGAACTGCTCAATTTCAAATTCTGCCATCCAATTTTGGTGCCTTTTTTAAAAAAAAATCTTCTCTCATTCCTAAGAAATTGCCATGTTTTATTGATTTTGATATTATGTTTGTGTTGTGTTTCAATCACATGTTCGGTTAGGGTGGCATGATGTTGGAACGTTTAACAAGAACATCACGGTATGTCCACAGAGAGGTGGAGCTATTGGAAGTCTCATATTTGAGATTGAGCTTAAACATGCTGCTAATGCCGGTAATATCACTTTATACAATATGTGTTAGCATCTTTTTACACTTGTTTGTTTCGTTTGTTTGCTATAAGCTTTGTTTGTTTCTTTTGTTTAGGTCTTGTAAATGCTTTATACTTGATTAAGGATATCAAAGAAAAATACTCTCGGTCAATGATTTATAGGTTCTGATTCGTTTAGAAAGTGTGAATCTGTTGGTTATGAAGTTTTTATTTCCGATCCGAGGACGTAGATTACTTTAGTTTCTAGATGGCATTTGATCCGTGTGAAAATCTCTTAGGCACTCGGTAGGAATCAAGAAGTCAGGACTAAGTCCCATTCATGCTTGTCTTAAGTTATGATCGCCCTCCATGTCAAAAAAATTGTTGCATTTTGGGTTTCCAAAGCTACCATTCTGCTCTTTTAAAATTCAGCCTAGCCATTGGCCATCCTATTCCTAGACTGAGATAATATCTAATGTGCATTTCAAATTCAATCTATATGTTTTTGTTGTTTGCAAATTGCTATCTTTGACCTAATTCTTGATTGAGATTGACTCAAAATGATTCAATTTGCCTTCAGATTTCAAGTCTTTTGCTCTACTCTGCCATTGCTTTGATCTATAGTATGAAATGAACAACCTTTGATTTCTTGACTTCCAAAGTAAAATGAACAAGTTTTGAGTTTTCAAGAAATCAGATTGGTGATTATTTCTTACTTCTGTCCTTATTAATTTGTACAGGCACTTCCATATATTCGTTGAATTGGGGAATTTTAGCCAATAACGAAGTAAAGAGTTTACTTTGAAGCAACAACGTTGAGAAAACATGGAAATTTATTTACTTAGGAGCTATAATGAGCAGAAGATTAAAGAATTGCAGCAGATACTGAAAGACTGAGATTTGTTTGATTGTAAATAATAAAATCATATGGTGAAAGTGAGGTCTTTTGTACAACTAGATCACTTAGGTACAACTGAGACAATTTTTGGTATAACTTGAACTACTCAGTGCAACTGCATTATTTAATTGTCGAATAGTTTCTTATTTTTGGTACAACTGATAAATTTAAATATAATTACATGTAATAAAATTGGACCTTTTGTTTATGTATGGTAAAGTGGATATTTTGTTTATGTACTTTGATGGTATTTTGGTACAACTGCAATTATTAGGTACAACTGAGATCTAATTATTTGGTCCAACTGGGTAAACTGAGAAAAAAGAAAAGTAGAAAAAAAATTAAAAATAAAAATAAATGTTTCAATATAAAATATTTTAAAATCATCCCACGTGTCGTAAAGTGCACAGTTGTGGGCCCGACTAAAGTGCGCAGTTGTGGGCCCGGATAAAATGTACTGTTGGATTTGGCGGCTTGATATAGTCATAGTTGTCCAGTTGTACTCTCATATTCATAGTTGGACTTTGGCGATTTTTTCATATTTTGAGTTGAACTATAATATAAATTATTAATTAGTAGTTGGACACATAATTTTTCACTATTAATTAGCATATACGAGGTTTTCATAATACAATGTTCCGAAAAACTTGGTTTTCACCTCTTTTGCTTCATATGAAGTGATCATGTACTAAGTCTTCCTTATACTAGAAGAAGTGTTTTATGTGAAAAAAAAAAGTTTGATACAAAATTTATAAATTATTGTTGTATTGATTTAAAATAGTTTATTTATATTTGAAAATGTCTTTTGGGGAATTTTGTTATATAAATCTTAATTTATAACTTATTATAATTAAATAAAAATACAAATTTGTTGTACCTAATTGAACTAGTTGAACTAATAGTATGTATTAGGAAAATGATAAATTCGAGTTTTATTTATTTAAAATTGCTTGTTTATACTTGATTTTGGAATCTTTATTAACTTTAATTTATCGTTTTTCATATTTGTTGAATGCAAATACGGATATATTTATGGTCGTAGTTGTACACAGTCGAACCTAGTTGTACCAATACGACAAATACATACATATAAAATTCGAACAGTGTTCTCCAAATTATAACATTTGGTTGCATCATCACCTTCATGATTAATTCTTACGTTTTCTTCACTTGTCTAACTCTAACTAGCAAATCGACAATACAACCAAAATGTCAATTCTACGCTCAATCTTATACTCTTCTTTCATTCTCCTGAAAGACGAAAACCCTTCCTTCACCATCCCGCAATGGCTACATGCATATAAGATCCCCACAAACGTGATCTCACACAGTATTACGTCCTCCTTTGATTCCATATTCCTGAAAAGCTCAATCGCTTCTTACCCAATATCAAAGCACCAAGCTTTGCACAAGCAGACAATAAGCTAACAACTCTGAACCAATTAGGCTTGATACCCTTAAAATCTATTTAAGTATAAAGCGTCAAAGCTTTGTTTGGTTTACCGTTTTCTCCAAACCCATTAATCACAAAATTTCAAGTCACAAAATCTTTCTCAAGCATTTTATCAAACACCTTGTGTGCATTAGGTACATCTCCACAATTGACGTATAAATGAAGCAGAGATTTCTGAGCATATATCAACGAACCAAACCCACTTCTTATAACAACGGAATGAATCGTCTCTCCCAACCGAACATCCGCTATTTTTGTCACAACTTTTAGAAGAAACCGAATAGTATGAGTATCGGGCTCAAACTCTCATAATATGTATTTGTATATGTATCTCGGACGATTTAAGGATTGAGATCGGAAGAGATGGCTTGAGATGAAGGAAGAAGTGAAGCTACGAAGAAACAGCGAAAGAGGGAGAGAATTGTGGAACGACAAATCTGATTTTTTAATTTATTTTATCTCTTTTTTATTTGTTTTTGTTTTAATTTTAAAATAAATAAAATATATTAACAATATTCTTTAAGGGTATAAAGGAGTAATCACATGGAGAGATGGCACTCAGACTCTAAAATGGCAGACCGGATTAACTTTCTTGGTTTGGTGGCATTTTAGCCTCTGTCTCATTCAATAATCAGTAAAAGAAACAACGACTGACACAAGATAGTTTAGCTCCGCCGTTTACCTTTCTCGGCAATTACTCTCCATGGATCTGCTTGACGGCTAGAAAAGACGGTTTAATCTCACGACAGTTGGATCCTCATGGCTCAACAATCAACAGCAAACAAAGCAACATATTGTTGGGGTCGGATTCCATCCCTCAAATACCGAGCCGGATTTTGGACACTTTAAGGAGCTTCCGAAGACACGTCGGGGAAGTATATCAATCACCTCGGCGCAGCGAGCCATTCTCCTCGGTGCAGCAAGCCATTCGCCTCGGGGGAATGTGTCAGTCGCCTCGAGATCCACATGCAAGCTCGGAAACCCGAACCGGCTCTTCAAGTACCCATTTCCAAGCAAGGCGTCATTTCCGAAAAAGAGGGATCATTTCCGACAGACCCGGAAATGATGAGGAAGAATCTCGAAGGATCGACTCAAATCAGGAAATCTTCCAAGAAACTCCGAAGAATAAGGAAACTATCCTAAATCCGCGATGTTCCAAGCCGACTTCAAGATAAATGGAAATCTTCCGAGAATATCGCTGGAGAGGCGGTTTATCATCCCTATATATAGAGACTCAAGGCTCACACAGGGGGGGGAGGCAAGATCGCTCTAGAATTTACACTACACAAAGCTCTTACAGCACAAACACCTTTTTCCTTTTACGATCAAACTCTTGTACGGTCAAAACTACTCTTTTCATCAATAAGATCAATAACACCATCTTTGGTTACAATTGTTTCTGTTGTTCTTTGAGAATTCACGTTTATCGTATCCCTAAATTAAAACTCTAGACAAATCTCGATTGTGTTAGTTTCGACTTCCACACATATCAAGAGTCAAAACCATAAACTTCTTTTGCAAGTTACATAATAAATCTAGGGTTTCCTTACCCTCAACAGCCTTGCCGATGGATTACGACTATTCCGGTGACAGTGGCTAACATCCGGTGATGGTTGCAAATGGTTGTGGTTGTGGTGAACGACGGTGGTTGATAGTGATGACTGATGAACAGAGGCTGACTATACGTACACATCAATAAATATACACAAGACACAACGAGGACGAAAACCCTTTTCAAGCAATTAGGCCTTAAATGGGCTATAAAATTATATCGTACAATTTGGCCCTATAATCAGAGAGCGGGGTGTTATAGAAGGCACACCTAAGGTTATGGCTTCCAACATGTATTTATAGGGTTTGGAGACCAAGGATTAGGTCTAGGGGTAAAAGCGTCTTTTCCCGTGATTAGGTTTAAGTGCAAACTCGAGTTTTGACAGAAACTGTCATGAAACGGGTTTTGATCGTCTTTTGGTCTTTAAAGCTCAAAAACTCTTAAAACCTTCTTGGCTCCATAAATACTTGAATAACTCCTTCTTGGCTCTGATATCACTCCAAATGCTCCCTAAAACATAAGAAAACAATAGCAAATATGGGCGAAAATCCCATGTTATAATTATGTGAAGAAAATATATATAGTTTTATCGGAGAAAATCAGTTTTGGCCGAGAAAGAGTAATTTTAGGCCAAGACATGCAATCGGTGATCAAACGGAGTCGGATACAGAGACAACAAGATTTAGTGGAGTAATTAAATGACTTAGTCATTTATTTTTAGTTTTGTCAAAGAGGAATAAGTAATGATCATTGTGAGCGAACGGTGGTCGAAGAGCTCTCGGTACGAGCGTGTATCGTGAGTGAATGGAACGAGTGGTCGCGGAGGCCATGTCGTAGAGGTGCTTGTGGCACAAGCAGCTGTGCCACGAGATGGAGTGTGTTTTGCGTGAAGCTCCACATGCTCAGATAAGGATAAACATGGATAAAGATAAGGATAAGCCTTATCTTTTCCTTAGCTTTCACTCCAAGCTATTGTAGCTTGCACTCCAAGCTATCATAGCTTGCTCCCCAAGTTTCCCACCCCTATATATACCCACTAGATCGAATCATTAGTTCTACACAACAAAATCGCACCTTAAAACGCTAGTTAGGTCGAGAAGCTCGTCAGAGGCCGAGTCGGGTAGAAATTGGTCGAGTCGAGAGTCGTAGTCGGGTAATCCGGTAAGTAGTTTCGCCTTTAGTCTTTTATTCTTTTAGAAAATTTTGTTTTCGGTCCGACGCTTAGATCCTTCGTTAGTACGCGTTGAAGATAGCTCGGTCGGATCAAATTTATTAGGTGGTCAAGGGTAGAATCTATTCTCTCGACAATAAGGCTAAGGTGAGTTCCGTAGTGTGTATAGCAGCATACAACTAGGTTTTATTTTTGAGTTTATAATTTTAGGGTTGAGGTTGCATGTTTATACTTAGTGTAAATTATGCATGAATTGTTGATAGTCAGATCTATGTTTTTACGTGAGATCGGCTTGATTGTGTGGTTTAGATCTAGCATTCATGATTGATATATTTTATAGGCTAGACGTTAGTTAAGCCGTTATGCTGCTTGATTATTTGATGGTGTGAAAATTTATTCATCGTATTTATTTGCGGTAATTGTTGTTTGTTTAATTCATGTACTAAATCTTTAGTAGCATGAATATTGTTTGTGTGTTCGTAATTTTTATTGCAAATTTAAATTGTTAGCAAGCATGTTAGTTTGTTTGATTGTTGAGTGATTGATTGTTGTTAGTTAATCTTGCATTAGCTCAATTAACATATGTGTAGTAGGTGCTTGGTAGTAGATCTTATTACGAGTAGTATTGAGGTTCAATACGCTCGTAGTAAGTAGTTGTTGTTAGTCATTTTTATAACTATAGTATTGCGATGTCTTGATTGTCCCAATCGCTCGGAATGGCTCGCTACCACCCGAGGCTGCCTGACGAGGTAGTAAAATTTTTACGTTAAGAGATGTGATCTCTTATAAACGGTTTGGTTTGGAGAAAGGATGTTTGATCCTTCTAGCCTTTGTGGCTAAGGGTCGGAGAAACGTTGCCTAGTGGGAGATCATCATCGTATAGGGCCCGTAAGATGAAGAGTCGTTAGCATGCTAGTTATAGTTTTAGTAATAGTTCCACTGCATGTACTTTGTATTGAGTACTTTTGTTTGTATACACTTTTTTAAGTGTATTTGTGTGATTTCATATCAAGTATACTCAATCGAGTATACTCGTGTGTTGCATTGATTGCTTGTGTGTTGGGTTTTGGGATTGGGATTATTTTTAGAAAACCGGACTGAGTAATCTTAGATTACTCATGATTCTACCTTTTGTTTTACAGGTAACCTTAGTTGGGAGACCTCAAGGAGAGCACGGACGTTGGGAACCGGTGAAGAGTTCGTTGTCTTTGTAAAATTAGATTTGTAATAATTGACTCGATTTGAGCCTTAGGCTCGAGATCTCAATCCGTTGTAAGTGTTTTCAAGGTTTTATTGAATAAAGGAGATTTTCTTAAGAAGCCTTGTGTACTACTGATATTAGTCTTGCCCGGACTAACACAACTCGCGGACATGGTACGGGTTGAAAAGCCTTAGGCCGTGTACGTGAGGAATGATGTCCGCGGATGGACTGACCTTGGTACTGGATGTGTTCTGGAAACTCGGTCGGATCGTCTACGGGCGTTATACGTAACGCTTCCGGATCGTCTACGGGCGTTATACGTAACGCTTCCGGATCGTTCCTAGTCCTAGGATGGTTCGGGGGTGTTACATCTCCACTTCATCAAATCACGCAGAGATCATTGCTCTTCATGAGGCGTGTAGAGAATGTGTATGGCTTAGATCCATGACAAACCCTATTCAAGAAGCAAGTGGATTAGTCATCAAAATAGGGCCAACAAGATTATACGAAGATAATGCTGCATGTATTGCTCAAATCTAAGAAGGCTATATCAAGAGCGACAGAACAAAGCATATCCCTCCAAGATTCTTCTCTTACACTCAAGATCTCGAGAAGAACAAAGAAATCGATATTCTATAAATCCTCTCAAGACAATGCAGCAAATCTATTCACAAAGGCTTCTAACTTCCACATTTATTGCTCTCTTCTCTTTACTCTCTTTTTTCCTCCGTTCACTCTCATAATTCGAAGCCGTTACCTCGTTAGTTCACAACAAAAACCTCTTTTCTCACAACAAAAAAAAATTAATTGATGCTCACCTAGTATTATACTTAACGAACATGTTCAATATTTTTAAGTCAATGAACATGGGGATTTAAATTGCATGTTATATAGTTGGGGAAAAAAAGTAATAAAAGTCTAACAAAAAAAAAGTAATAAAAGTAATAACATCTAATGTTGTTAAGTCAATGAACATTTGAGGATTAAAAAATGCATGTTCAATAATCAATAGTTGGGAATAAAATCAATTGTGTTGTAAACTGTGTTGTTCTATTGATTAATGAATGAGATTTCGATACATATATATACATGATGAGGGGAGACAAATCCCCATTGGGCTAGTAAACCCTAAAGCCCAAAAGCCCACTAAGTACAATATAGGCCGTCATAAGGAGAATCTTCAAGAACATGGGCATGGGCCTTCTAGGACATGGACATGGGCCTTCTAGAATATGCATAAGGTCCACGGTTATGGAGTCCATCCAACATGTGGTTTATAACACTCCCCCTTGGATGACATAACCGTGTAGATGCCAAAAGATCTCAGTAATACGCTTGGGGATGCTGCCTCATTAAAACCTTACCAGGAAAACCCATTGGGACAAAACCATGGTTAAGGAAAAAGAGTACAGCACGTATTACTCCCCCTGTTTTGGTCATCCCTGCAAGTCCTTAAGTCTCCGCATTCCAATTTGATGCGTGAGCTTCCTCAATGTCGATGTTGGTAATGCCTTGGTAAAGAGATCGGCTGAGTTGTCGCTGGATCGAACTTGTACCACTCGAACTTCTCCATCCCTTTGCAAGTCATGCGTGAAGAAGAACTTTGTTAGAATGTGCTTCGTCCGATCTCCCTTGATGTAGCCGTCCTTGAGCTGAGCGATACAGGCTGTGTTGTCTCCTCATATGATGGTCTTTGATGTTGTAGTAGCTGCGCCTTGAAGAAGGCTGCCTACGTACCCTTGGAAGGGATCAAGCCACACGTAGTTCCTATCTATTGACCATGCCATAATCTGATTTTACCTGCATCAGCAAAACAAACTAAACCAAAGCAAACTAGACCTTCTTTGGTTAGATCAGTATAGAATAAAACCCAAATAAACAAACATAGGAAGAATAGAATTTAAAATTTAACCAAACCTTCCTTCAAACCTTTCTAGTGCCTTTGGGTTGATCATGAACTAAATTTAGGTAAAGGAGGTTCACGGCAAAACATATGTCTGGTCTAGTGTGGCTAGCCAAGTACATTAACGCTCCTATGGCACTAAGGTATGGCACTTCAGGATCGAGAACTTCTTCCTCATCCTTTTTTTGGACCGAATGGATCACTATCCAATCCGAGGCTTCTCACCACCATTGGGCTGCTCAATGGGTGGGCCTGGTCCATATTGAATCTCTTGAGTACTTTTTCAGTATATGCCTTTTGATGCACAAGGATTCCATTACTCACGTACTCAAGTTGCAATCCCAAACAGAATTTTGTCTTGCCTAGGTCTTTCATCTCGAATTCTTTCTTTAGATATTTGACTGTTTGGGCGATTTCCCCAGAGGTTCCAAGGATGTTCAAATCATCCACATATACTGCTATTATCACAAACCCTTCGTTTGCAAATTTCTTTATGAAGATACATGGACTGATGGGATCATTCTTATAACCTTCTCTGACTAGGTACTCGCTTAATCTATTGTACCACATGCGTCCACTTTGTTTCAGTCCATAAAGCGATTTGTTCAGCCTTATGCAGTATTGGTCTCGAGACCCTTTCTTATCTTTATCTTTGAGCTCAATACCCTCTGGTAATCTCATATATATCATCCAGTGGACTTATATAAATATGCAGGCATTACATCCATTAGCCGCAAATCAAGTCTTTTTCTTTATATAGCCAGACTTAGCAAAATTTAAATGTCTTAGCATCCACCACAGGGGAGTATGTTTCTTCATAATCTATCCCCGGTCTTTGTGAGAATCCTTGTGCTATAAGCTGTGCCTTATATCTCACGATTTCATTATTCTCATTTATCTTCTTCACAAAGACCCATTTGTGTCCTACTGGTTTTTACATCGAATGGTGTCCTTAAGGTCGGACCAAACTCATTACCTTTCTTAATGATTCTTAGCTCCACGTTTTATGGTCTTGTACCATTTAATCAATCAAGTCTTTGAGTGCACTCTAGTATAGACGTGGGCTCCTGATCCTCATTTATATTCATAAATTCAAGTGCTACCTTGCATGCAAAATCATCTTATGTCGACATTTCTTATATGTTCCATTATGTTCCAGACATGATATAATCGATTTGAGATTTATTATGGTCAGGACCTTTAATACTTTGCAGCTTGGCGTCCCAAGCTACATTGTATGGTACCTGTACCTTAGAGCCGGCCGGCCTTATCTCCATGTCTGGGATGGTTTCCTTAGTAACCTCGGATTCCTATTGCACCTTTATTTAATTTCCGAGGGTTTTTATCATTGGAACTTATTGGTCTACCACGTTTCTTTCGTGTGTTAGACTCGGTAGCAATTTCATTGATTCCCTTTTGGATATCAATACGTACTGGTGCATTACAAGCTGGTATGTACGTTTTTGTAACTTTCTTTGGGTCAACAAAGGAATCTGGCAATTGATTAGCTAGCTTTTCAAATGTATAATCTTATGGACCTCTGATTCTCATGCCAGAGTCCGAGGATCTTGCCAATTTAAGGATGTTTGATTCCATTATATTTCTTTTATTGCTTTACCCAGCTTGTTCGTCTCTCCACCTATAGTAGGAAACTCGGATTCATTAAAATGACAATCCGCGTATCTAGCCTTAAATAGATCACCCGTAGTTGGCTCTAGATACTTAATAATGGTGGGAGAATCAAATCCAACATATATTCCCATCCTCCTTTGAGGTCCCATCTTTGTTTCTATGTGGTGGAGCAATCGGTACATATATGGCACACCCGAAAGTCTTTAGATGGGATATGTCTGGCTCATGACCCATGAGTAATTGGGATGGCGAATATTTATGTTCACTAGATGGCCTTATGCGTATAAGCTCTGATGCATGTAAAACAGTGTGTCCCCAAGCGGCTACTGGAAGCTTCGACCTCATGAGTAATGGTCGAACGATCAATTGAATTCGTTTAATGAAGGATTCCGCTAATCCATTCTGTGTATGTACATGTGCTACGGGATGTTCCACACTTACCCCCATGGACATACAGTAGTCATTAAACGCTTGGGACGTGAATTCACCGGCATTGTCTAGACGTATAGTCTTAAGCGGAAAATCTGGAAAGTGGGCTCGCAGTCTTATTATCTGGGCCAATAACCTAGCAAACACTTGGTTTCTAGTAGATAGGAGACAAACATGCGACCATCTTGTCGATGCATCAATGAGGACCATACATATATCTCCTTGTATCCTTTCCAGAAAACTTAAGGTTTCTTTATTTACCTTAGCCGGTGATGGCCTTATAATGAGTTTCCCTTGTGAACATGCTTCACACGTGAGATTCTTAGGGATAACTCTTTTCTCTCTTAGGGTGTGCCCCTTTGAATTAGTTATTAGTTTACGCATCATACTATGACCCGGATGGCCAAGCCGGTCATGCCATAAAGTGAATTTCTCGATGAACTCTTTGTTCATTGCCATATTAGCTTCGATCATATCGATTTTAGCATAGTAGAGACCAGTGGATAATGCGGGTATAGTCTCTTAGGACTTTCTTATGTCCTTGGGTGATCTCAATTATATTTAGGAATTCTTTGTTCCCTTCACCCTTTGTTTCAATATGGAAACCATTCAATCTTATATTTTTGAAACTTGACAAGCTCCTCTTCGATCTGGGTGAATATAGGGCATCGCTTATTTCAAGATGCGTGCCCTTTGATAAAAGTATATGGGCTTGACCATGGCCCTCAATAAGACTAGCTATACCCGCTATGGTGCTAATATTGGCATTTTTCATTATGAGATTTAGGAAAATATCTCTTATCTTTTGTGTGGCTCCACTATCCACCACAATTATGTTCTTGTCCTCGGCCATTTCTTATATGGACAAGAATCATGTTCTAAACATAAAATAATATAAAATAAATTCAAGCAAATAACAATCAATGAACACATAAAATGCAAAGAAAAACATAGAGGTTTTGATGTCGAAGTAAGATTTATCAACTTGATTCTTTTATGCAATCAGAAGTTTCATACTCTATTAGATCATCTTGATCATGTTCACCATCTTTATATACCAAATGGGCTTTAGGATTCTTCCCTTTTACACTCTCTTGATAGAGGTCACAACGATGTTTGGAAGTCCTACATATCTTAGCCCAATGGTTTCCCATTCCATATCTATGGTATACTCATTTGGTCGAGTGTTGTGGTTTGGAAATACCACATCGTCCTCGCCCTCGACCACGGCCGGAATTGGGTCTACATCCACGGTTATAGTGGTTCCCATGGCCGGATGAGTTATAGTGGCCACAACCACGTCCTTTCCATCCACAACGGTCACGGCCGTGTGGTCTATCACTTTAGACGTGGTTAGATTCTTTGGATTCTTTCTTATCCTCTGCGGCCTTATTGGCATTAGGTAATGGGGTTAATCTATGAGGTCGTAACTCACTGTTTTTATCTGTAAGTCATTATTTTTATTTTTTTTTTCATCTAGCAATAGACTCATCCACGGACTTATAGTCCTGGATTATGAGACTCTCAATAAGATGGTGGCTAATATTGCCTTGTATCTATCTTTCTCTCTTGGCATTCTTACCTTATTAGATACATTCACCAAGTCCTTTTGACTTTAGGATAATCTTAGTATCCATTGCCCATTTTAAAATAATTATCTCCTAAGAGATTTAGGGCAGTAAAGTACAAGTTGTAATTCAACATCTACAAGGAAAAGTTTTGAGTCAAAATCATGTAATCGTTAGTGTCATGCGGTATTTGAGACCGAACCATGAATCGATTTACTTAGGGATTTGACTTTCCTCTTTTGCTTATGATTAGATTTCCTCTTTTGATTAGGATTAACTTTTCCTTTTCCTTTTAGGATTTACTTTCCTCTTTACTTTAGGATTAATTTTCCTATTTCACTTATGATTTTAGATTTTAAGATTTCCTATTTTAATTAGGATTTGGAAATTTTCTATTTCTTAAAGTTTTTCTATCTTGAATAGGATTTATGAATTTCCTAATTTAATTAGGATTTAGAGTACAATAGGATTTAGGATTTTATTTAGGTTTTCATGCTTTCTATTAGGATTTTAAAGTTTCCTATTTTATTGAGGATTTTAAGATTCCCTATTTAGGATTTAGGGTTGTTAAGATTTCCTATTATCTAGGGTTTCCTATTTTATTTAGGATTTTAAGGTTTCCTAGATTTTAGGGTTTCCTATTTTATTTAGGATTTTAGGTTTTAGGGTTTTGAGATTTCTTTTAGGATTATCTTTTCTAAGTTTTCTAGGGTTCATGCAATTTTAGTTTTAGGGTGTTAAGCATGTAATCAATCAAAGGAGCAAACAATCTAACAACCTAAACAATCTCAATCAAGCCGATTTAAACTTATGGAATTTTTTGGATTAGATTCGTTTTAGGTTTTAGGTTTTTAGACCTTTAAAGTTTCGGTTATTAGCTTATGTATTTTCGTTTTGCGATTTTAGGTTTAGACAATTAAAACTTCTCTAGCAACTTAGGCGAGTTTAGCTTAAGCGATAATCAACTTTTTCTAGCAACCTAAACGAGTCAAACAATCGAGCAAACAAGCAATCGGATCAAGCAAGCAATCAAATCATACAAGCAAAGCAATCACTTAATCAATCATCATTCGTTTTAGGGTTTCTCTTTGCTTAACTTTCAAGTTCAATTGTTGGTTCTTTAGCTTTAGGGTTTTGATGTTACCTTTCACCTTATGGGGTTGTATGGAATAGAACCGGGAGCTAAAGACCTCGGTAACTCACGCTGCTGCAACGAACCGCAAACAGTACCACGATGAACAGTACCACGATGAACAGTGCCGCGATGAACAGTACCCGCGATGAACAGTGCGGCGATGAACAGTACAGCGATGAACAGTACGGCGATGAACAGTACCGAGATGAACAGTGTCGGCGATGAACAGTGCCGCGATTTTTAGGGTTAGGGTTTTAGGGTTTTCGTTAAGAGCAAGTCGTGCTGATAACGTGTTGTAAACTGTGTTGTTCTATTGATTAATGAATGAGATTTCGATACATATATATACATGATGAGGGGAGACAAATCCCCATTGGGCTAGTAAACCCTAAAGCCCAAAAGCCCACTAAGTACAATATAGGCCGTCATAAGGAGAATCTTCAAGAACATGGGCATGGGCCTTCTAGGACATGGACATGGGCCTTCTAGAATATGCATAAGGTCCACGGTTATGGAGTCCATCCAACATGTGGTTTATAACAAATTGCAAATACTTAAGGATATAAATTCGACAGTTTTCACATCGAAAACAAATAGAAAAACCCAAACATTGATTGATTTTGGTTCGAAATTTTCGTTTCAGTTAAAAATCTCTGGATTAAATCTACTGTTTCAAGACCACAATAAAAAATTTCCACAAAGAACAGGTCGTTTTACATAACAACAAAACATAATAAGATTTAAACGCAGTCGAATACATCAAATAAAAATATAAAGTAGACAATAAATATAGTTTCGATGTAGCTGGACGAGAGCAGCAACGGTAAAACGACCAATATTAGCGGTTGGTACTTGGTAGCTATGGACCGAGCAAAGGAAGAGGCAGCAGTAATAGACATGACCAACTGCAATAATCAAAAGAAAAAATATTCATGAATTGATGAATGAAACAAGAGCAAGTTACTTTATCCCCTAAGAATCAATAACCACTCTTTTTTTTTTTACTACTTACCTTATTCCTTTAACAAAAGCTTAATCTCGGAAACCTAGCAACTGGGTGCACCTCAGGTTCATCAGGTAGATCCATTCGAGCAGAAGTTTCACTCATACAACGCTCACACCCGTGATAGATTTTACCTAAGTGTCTCTCTTGAGCCAACGTGACCACAAGCGGTATTCCTTCCAATTCAGAATAATGCAATTTCAACGCCTTCTCAACGCCCTGGCCATCTTTCAGATTAATGAAAGCGAATCTGTAAGCCAAAAAAAAAGAAGCATAAGTTTACATTGAACTTGATCAAGTTGTCACAAAGTTGGAGAGGAACAAGTGACCAAACCCCATGGGAAAACCGGTTTTGTAATTTATGGGAACAGTAAGCGTTGTGATCTCTCCACATGAACCGAATAAATCACGAAACATTTTCTTCACTTGATCCTGAGGAAGACGCAAACTTTCAAACCCCATAACCAAAATGGTTTGCTTATTGTGATAAACCCCCACTTTTTGACAATCAACACAGTCATTCTTCGGAATATGCTGTATTAAAAACACAATTTCTTGCAGAATTAAAACAGGAATAAAATCTAATGTAAAAACTTATACAATATATATTTAAAAAAATACCAAAGAACAGCCCCGATGCATCATCTCTTCCTCCTCGTTTTCCTCTGGGGTTGTTTCTCTGTCCTGTTGACAAAGCGTAGTGTATCAAAATTGTCAAAACCTACAAAACAAATATAACAGCTACATACAAACAAACACCTAGTAAACACTAATACAATATATATATTTAAAGTAAAAAAGAAGAAACATATACCTTTAATATAGTTAACAGAATTTCCGGAAGGCTTTTTACAGCTTCAGTCAGTTCTTTGATAGATCTCGACAATTCAATGATTTCCTGCCATTGGAATAAAAGTAAATGATTAAAACAACCATGACAAACAACTGAAACTCTTACTTTGGGAACAGATAAGGCATATTAAATTGCACTAACGTTTTATAGCAAAGTTTTCTCTGCACTGAACATTTTCAAAACTTTTGTTTATTGAGTTTGAGAATTTAATAGCATATGAAAGAATTCAAAATCTTGTGTTATTCAATTTTGTATTTTATTAATTCTATTAAAATCAAGTGTTATTCGATTGAATGAATTTTAAATATTATTAAATAATAGTATTATTTAATACAGTAAAACCTCTATAAATTAATAATGTTAGGACCATGATATTTTATTAATTTATAGTGATATTGATTTATATATATATATATATATATATATATATATATATATATATGCAACTTTACATGATTATTAATTTAAGATATTATTGGGACTGTGTTTTTACATAGAGATTTCAAAAAACTTATTATCTTATTATTTTATCGAATTTGGTTAATTTTTACACTGCCCCAACTCGGGACCGGCCAAATTTATTAAATTATCGTGTTTATTATTTTATCGAGTATTAATTTATAAAGGTGCGATTCTAGGGCTTCGACTACAGGTGAACAAGACGCCACCATGATGGACGTAGGTGAGAGGGATCGGCCTCCGGGAAATCCTCCAGATGCACCTATGTCGTGGGTTAGGAAGGTGACCGGGAGTAACTCGGGTGGGATACCAACGGCGGAGGAAGTTTTGGATGATGAGTTTGTTAAGGAAAGGTTGTGTTTGGAGTTTCCAAATGGTGAAGACGGGGAACCGGTGATAAAGATATGGAGGGAAGTTTTGGAGGCAATGAATAGTCTATGGAAGAGGTGTATGATTGTCAAGGTGTTAGGGCGGAACGTTGCGGTCTCTATGTTGAATCGAAAATTGAGAGAGATGTGGAAACCGATGGGGGTGATGGATCTCCCTCGTCAGTTTTTCATGATCCGGTTTGAGAAAGAGGAAGAGTATTTGGGGGCTTTAACAGGTGGACCGTGGAGGGTGTTTGGATCCTACCTCTTGACGAAGGCATGGTCACCTGACTTTGACCCCTTGCGAGATGAAATAGTAACAACACCGGTGTGGGTTAGGCTATCGAATCTCCCAGTGAATTTCTACCACAAATCAATTCTTATGAGAATTGTCAAGGGTTTGGGTGAGCTGATTAAGGTCGATCTCACTACGCTAAATTTTGAGAGAGCTAGGTTTGCTCGAATTTGTGTTGAGGTCAATTTGAAGAAATCCCTAAAGGGCACAGTAATGGTGAATGGTGAACGTTACTATGTATCCTACGAGGGATTAAGTGCTATTTGCTCTAAGTGTGGATTGTATGGCCATTTGGTACATACATGCCCTCAAGTGTCCCAGACCAGAGTGGTAGCGGCTATTATATCGACTGAAAACGCTAGCCCGACGGCGGAACAACCACTTGATGATGGAAGGCTAGAGGATAATGGTGTATCGCTTGAAAGAAGGAATGTGGCTGATTCAATGGCGCCAAACAAGGAAAATGAAAATATCCAGGATCCCCAAGGAAAAGGAAAGAGTGTTGCGCAAGTCACGGAGACATCCACGAGCGTAATTTCAGAGAAACACCAGGAGGCTGAGCAAAGTGTTTTCTCTAGAAAGCGGGCTGGAGTTTTTAAGGCTGCTGCACAAACTGGGCCGAAACAAGTTGGACCAAAATAGAGAGGATCTTGAGCTTTCGGTTTCGGGGAAAAGACTGAGGTTGGAGAAAGACAATGATGGTAGTCCAGGTGGGGTGTTTATAAATGGAAGAAAGGAGACGCATTCAACAGCTATGGCGATATCTACTCAGGCCGTCGAAGCAGTTGATGCCCGAGTGGAAGTGGAATTGGGAGAGAACCAGGAGGTTAGGGAAACGACTATGCTTCTCGGTCTGCCAGAAGGAGTGGTAGACGGGAATGTCGCATAACAGGTCACCCCGGTGATTCAAGTTTGGTATCTGCAGACATTAATTAAGATGAAGATGAATTGTTTGTTATGGCTTTTGTGGAGATCGGGTATCGGAGATGTAAAGATAGTGTCATCAACTAACCAATTCATTCATGCGAAATTGGTGGACGGAGTGGAAGTGTTGCACTTGATTGTCGTCTATGCGGCACCATCGGAGAGTAGAAGAAGTGGGTTATGGAGACAATTAAAAGATGTGATTCAAGGTTTGGATGAGCCGCTAGTTGTGGGTGGGGATTTGAACACCATTGTTCGATTGGATGAGAGGACTGGAGGGAATGGTCGTCTATCTTCGGATTCAATTGCATTTGGCGATTGGATTAATGAACTCTATCTCATTGATATGGGTTTTAAAGGCAACAGATACACTTGGAAGAGGGGTATATGTTGAAAGCAATTATGTTGCCAAAAGGCTGGACCGTGTCTTCTGTTGCGCGCGCACGAGATTGAAGTGGCAAGATGCTTTGGTATCTCATCTGCCTTTCTTATCTTCTGATCACTCGCCACTTTACATCCAGTTATGTCCGGATATTTCGCGGGATCCAACTCGAAGGCCTTTTCGATTTGAAGCTGCGTGGCTTTCTCATCCTGGGTTTAAAGAGCTACTTGTCAACTCTTGGAATGCAAATCTATCTACTCCACAGGCTTTGGAAGGGTTGCGGGAAACTCTCCAATTGTGGAATAAGGAGATATTTGGGGATGTACAGCGGAGGAAGGAGAAAGCTATGAGTGAGCTTAAATACGTGCAAGATAAGCTAGAACAGAATCCATCGGATGATCTGTTGCAGAAGGACCAATTGATGAAAGAATATGAGGTGATTCTTGAGCAGGAAGAAATAATCTTGTTTCAAAAATCACGTGAAAAGTGGATTGCTTTGGGTGATCGAAATACCTCATATTTTCACACGTCCACTATAATTAGAAGAAGAAGAAACAGAGTGGAGATGTTGAAAAATGATGAAGGAGGGTGGATTTCTGAGCCAAAAGAGCTAGAAAATTTAGCAGTGAGCTATTATAAGAGATTATACTCCATGGAAGATGTCGAGGCCGTAGTTGACAAGCTTCCACCTTAAGGCTTTGCAGCCTTAACACACGCCGAGCTAACGAATCTAAACAAACCTGTCTTGTGTGCGGAGGTCGAAGGTTCGATAAAAGGCATGGGACGATTCAAAGCACCGGGTCCGGATGGATTTCAACCCGTCTTTTACCAAGACTGTTGGGATGTGGTCGGAGAATCTGTGAATAAATTTGTTCTGGATTTTTTTGAAACAAGACAGCTTCCACCTAAGATAAAAGATGCCCTCGTAGTCCCGATACCTAAGTTTGGGAAACCGGAGAAAATATCGCAGTTCAGGCCCATTAGTTTGTGCAACGTCTTATTCAAAACGATTACCAAAACCATGGTCAATCGTTTGAAAAAAGTTATGCCAAAACTAATCGGTCCGGCACAGGCTAGCTTCATACCAGGAAGATTGAGTGTTGATAATATTGTGGTTGTTCAGGAAGCGGTTCATAGCATGAGAAGGAAGAAGGGTAGGAAATGTTGGATGCTATTGAAACTAGACCTGGAAAAAGCATACGCTCGTATTAGATGGGGTTTTCTTGAGGATTCTCTTAAATCAGCTGGGCTACCAAAGATTTGGACTAAGTGGATCATGACTTGTGTCACCGGCCCGTCGATGAATTTATTGTAAAAATGGAGAGAAAGCATATCCTTTTCAACTTTCACGAGGAATACGTCAAAGAAACCCGCTATCGTCGTATCTCTTTGTGCTTTGTTTGGAGAGGCTGTGTCACCTAATTGATAGAGCTGTCGGTAATAAAGAGTGGAAACCAATCAGTCTTTCGCAAGGAGGTCCTAAACTCTCACATATTTGCTTCGCTGACGATCTAATCTTGTTCGCAGAAGCATCGGTGGCTCAAATCCGTGTAATTCGAAGAGTGTTGGAGAGGTTTTGCTCAGCATCGGGTCAAAAAGTCAGTTTGGAAAAATCAAAAATCTATTTTTCTGAGAATGTTAGTAGGGATCTCGAGAAATTGATTAGTGAGGAGAGTGGAATCAAATCAACATGTGACTTAAGGAAGTATTTGGGTATGCCTGTTCTACAAAAGAGGATAAACAAAGACACGTTTGGAGAGATTTTGGAAAGAGTATCCTCTCGTCTTTCGGGCTGGAAGAGCCGAGTATTGAGTTTGGCAGGGCGACTTACATTGACTAAAGCTGTGCTCTCCTCCGATGAGCATCATTGCATTACCAAAATCTACACTTGATGGACTTGACAGAATTTCGAGATCCTTTCTGAGGGGAAGCACTATGGAGAAAAAGAAACAGCACCTACTTGCTTGGAAGAAGGGTTGTCGCCCGAAGCAGGAAGGAGGTTTAGGAATTCGGACAGCGAAGGTTATGAATAAAGCATTACTGGCGAAGGTGGGCTGGCGTTTGTTGAACGATAAGTCGGGTCTTTGGGCTCGGGTACTGACCAGTAAATACAAAGTCAAAGGAGTTCATAACTTGTCTTGGACAATTGCAAAAGGTATGTGGTCCTCCACATGGCGGAGTGTAGGGATGGGAGTAAAAGAGGTCGTGATCCCGGGGTTGAGTTGGATTCTGGGGGATGGGAAAAGGATTCGATTCTGGGCTGATAAATGGCTCTCAAAAACTCCATTGATGGACAGTGTTACGAGTCCATTGCCTGCGGGGTTTGAGGAGCTCAAGATCAGTGACTTTTGGAGAGAAGGTAGCGGGTGGACTTTAAATCAAATTGTCCCGTATGTCACAGCCGATGTGAGACTCAGATTGGCGGCAGTGGTAGTGGATAATGTTACTGGTGCAAATGACAGACTATCCTGGGGAGAGACCGCGGATGGTCAGTTCACCGTCAAGTCCGCGTATGGTTTTCTAATCAAGGAGAATGTGCTGGGACAGAATCTGGGAGAGTTTTTGACAGAATCTGGAAAGTCATAGCTCCCGACAGGGTAAGAATGTTCATTTGGTTGGGAGCTCATCAAGTGATTATGACTAACATGGAGCGGAGGCGGCGACATCTTAGCGATTCAGGGATTTGTTCAGTTGGTAAAGGAGGGGAGGAATCGATTATTCATGTGCTTCGCGACTGCCCCGCGATGCATGGAATCTGGACCAGAATCATACCTAGACGGAAGCGGGAGAAATTTTACATACAATCAATTCTTGAGTGGTTTTATGAGAATCTAGGTGATAGCAAGGAATCCGGAGGCTGCCCATGGTCCACGACTTTTGTGACGACGGTATGGTGGGGTTGGAAGTGGAGATGTGATAATGTTTTGGATGGGGGTGGTAAGTGTAGAGATCGGATTCAGTTTGTGAAGGATAAAGCAAAGGAGATAATCCAAGCTCATGTCAAACTAGGCGGCAAGGACAGTGGTGTGGTAAAGGTGGCGAGAATGGTATCATGGAAGAAGCCCGGGGATGGCTGGTTTAAATTGAACACGGATGGAGCTTCACGGGGTAACCCGGGATTGGCTATAGCTGGTGGGGTAATTCGGAACAGGGAAGGAGAGTGGTGCGGAGGTTTTGCTCTAAATATTGGCGTGTGCTCAGCACCTCTAGCCGAGTTATGGGGAGTATACTATGGGTTATACAGTGCTTGGGAGCGCAAGATAACTCGGTTGGAGGTAGAGGTGGATTCGGAGTTGGTGGTTGGGTTTCTTACGACAGGGATAAGTGAGTCTCATCCGCTGTCATTCCTAGTACGATTGTGCTATGGCTTCATCTCGAGGGACTGGATAGTCCGTATCTCACATGTGTATAGGGAAGCTAGCCGTCTTGCAGATGGGTTAGCGAACTATGCGTTTTCTTTTCCACTTGGTTTCATTCGTTTAATGTATGTCCGGATATTGTGAATCCGGTGTTGCTTGAGGATGTAAATGGGTATGAAATGCCCAGGAATGTTCGTTTGTAATTTTTTTTAAAAAAGAATTATTTCAATAAAAGGTAGGAGACATTCTATCAATCACCAAAAAAAAAAAAATTATAAAGGTTCTACTGTACTATTATGTTGGCTTTGATAATTATGCCATTTGAATGAATTTAACTATACAAAAAAAAACGTGAAGAACCAATTCCAATGTGATTTGGATAGAAAACATTTTTTACTTTAAAATTAAATTATTTTTTATGCCATTCAATTCTTATAATTTCAGTCCTAACAGAGGATTAAGAGATCAATTAGGTTCAATAATAGTTGTACATGTCATTTTATATCTTGAATTTTGAATTTAGAACATAATTACTAATTCTATAGGGTGCTTATTTGATTAAATTATTAAGTAGAAGAATAAACTGTAGATACTTACATTTTTTTGATCAATTTTTTCATCTTCATCAATTTTCTACAAAAAAAAAACAGTTATTGTAAAATAAAAAAAATAAAAAAAAAGTAGCATAACAAAGAATAGATAAAAAGAAAGCTTACATTCATAGACTTTTGCTTCATAGTTTTGCACTTCCTTAGTTTCTTTGATCCATCGGCATGATCTTCACTATCAGATACGTGGTTTCTCTTTATGGACTTATCCTGTGTAGATACCGTCAGATTTAGGATTACAGAGTGAGAGTTTTGAGGAAGGAAAAAAATCAAAACAAGATCATAAACTGTAAATCTTTTCCATAATGTCATAAAATAATTTAAAAAAAAAAAACTTACATTTTTAGATCCAGCAGATTCATCAGATATAGGATTGTGCGGCTCCATTGTAAAAAGTCTTACATTTTTAGATCCAGCAGATTTAGGATTAGAAGATGGGTACACTGGTCTCTGTGAGAACGCTGCATATGCACATAAAATTAAATGAGAAGAGTTTGAGTTCAGTTGGTTTAAGGTTTTATGATTGTGGTTAAGAATAAATAAAGAAACGCTAAGCTGGTATATTCTGAGACGAACCTGATGAGACATTGGGTTTGGGCAAAACAACTTGCCCTTTGCCATATTCAAGGGCTGGCCACAGGATTCTCTCAGCTTTTGGAAGACGGATCTCAACTCTGGTTGTCAATACTTCATATCTACACTTCTCTGGTATTATCTGAATAGTACACATGAAGACGGATTTAGTAAAAGTGTGCATGAAAACACCGTAATTTCATATGTCAAATAAAATATACCTTCCCAAACAATCTCGCCTGGAGATGATAAGCTTTCTCTCCGGCAACATCAATGACAACACTCAGCTGCACCAAAAAAAAAGCCAAGCAAATCAAATACAGAATGTTAGATTATAAAGAGAGATAGATTCTCTGATTGCAGGATACTCACAATCTGCTCACCAAACTTGACAGATACATTCTCCTTTGGTATTCCTTTGGCGTAAATTGCCACCACTGCTTCTTCTCGTTTCTGGTAGAACTCGTGTCTGTTGAGCCATCAAGTTATATGAGTATATAGTGACTCTGGAAATTAAACAAGAATTTCTATTTTCGATAACTAGACTACATGAACATCGGCTCGGCAGGTGCTGCAGGAGTTGGAGCTGGTGGAAGCAAACCTGGTGGCACTAGTTGAACAAGGATATAAAGACTATATCAAAAATCAAAGCCTAGGTGCAGACAAATATTGAGAATCGTTTAATACTTTTTTCCGTAACCTATGTAATATACCTGCAATGCGAAGATCGCATTCATCTATCATCTTCTTAAATTTTGGTTCATTCGGTGCAACAGAAGCGCCCTTTTCCAGGGCTGCTTTAGCAGTACGATATTCTTCTAGCTTCATACAAGCAGTGCTGCAAATACATAAAAGTATCAGAAAATACAATTATGATTCCAATCAAATCATCATTAAACTTAAATACAGAGAGAAGATGACAATAACATACCCCATTCTGAGGTAGGCTTTTGCCAATGTTGGTTCTAACTCGATGGCTCTGTTCGCATCTGCAACAGCTCCTGCTCATGGAAAACCACAAAAGATAAAACATCACATCATCAAAAAAAATTCAACCAAAGTACTGAGGAGGAATAAGCAAAACAGTAAGCAACTGGTTTAGCTAGATAAAGAAGCAACTCCAAAGTTCATAGATCAGTGAGTACTCAGAACAACAAAGCAAATAAAAAAGGAGGACAACAGAGAAGCAAATCCAGTAAACAATAAGGTCAACGAACACACAATCCATAAGCTACAAGAAAACAAGGTTGAGATCAATTCGTTTCCCAATGATAAGCAAATGATACACATACGAACATCAAATCAGTGCCAAATTCACATGAAACAAAGCAATTACAATTACTCAAATCAATTGCGTGGAAAGGAAAACCCATCAAATAAGTTTTCTTATCCGAATAAGGTAACAACACAACCTCCCAAAAGAAACCCTTTTTTTTTTGGGCAAAGACAAAAGAAACCCTAAAACTATAACCTCATATCGAAATCAAAATTGGCCTTTCACGATGAATTTAGAGAAAAAAGAGTGAGTTATACCAGTGAAGTTATCGGTTTTGATCTTGGCCTGAGCACGATCGGCGAAGAAGGCGGCGCAATTGGGATCCAACTCAATGGCTTTGGAGTATAAGTCAACAGCAACATCGAAGTCATCTTCTAAATAAGCTTTTTTAGCTTTCTCTGCTAATTCCTTCGCCATTGATTCTTATCAGAGCACAAGTCACAGAGAGAGAGAGATTATAGAGGATTTGAGAGAACACGCACAAGTCAGAGAGAGAGAGAGAGATTTGAGGGAAGAAAGAAGAAAAATAGCAAATTTCAGAGAGAAAAAAAAAGGAGGAGGCTGCGTTTTAGGTTTGGGGAAAGAAAGGAAAAATAGTGCAATTATAGTTTCGAGCAAAAAAATAACATTCTAACAAATTTTGCAACTTTACTTTTTACCTCTAAAAACTAGGATCGGACCCGCGGTCCACCGCGGGAGAATATTAGTTTACATACGTTGCATTTAATATTGTGTGTGTTTTTTAGTAGAACGAATCGTGTAGTATACTTATAAGTATTCATAATAACGAATTCTAGAGAAAATGTAAAATTGTTTATAAATATACCCATCGTATTAATTATGATTTACAAAATAGAATTTTGTGTTTTAAAATTCTAAAATTAGACGATTCATGGGAATTAGAGCAGTCAAAATAGGTCAAAAACCGCGGGTCGAGCCCACATCATCTCACTATGGGGCAGATTTGGGAAAATATATTAAACCCGCAAATAAGCGGACCACATGGATTAATTCGCAGTAGGTCATAGGTTTAATCGGTTTTCATCCGCGGATTGGCGGATCAGCCCGTATATTAGTATATATTGATAAAATTATAATTTATTCAACATGTGGTAATTTAAACAAACTTTTAATAGTATTTTTTTTATTTATTTATTTTAGTAGTATTTTAAATTTTGGTTACTTTAAAATTATTTAAACAAAATCCATGGACAATTCCGCAAATCCGCAAACATTCGCGGGACGGGTTTGTATTTCATATATGCTACCCGCGGGTCGTGCGGACCGACTAACACAAGTCAAAATATTTTTTGTCTATCGCAAAACGGACTTAACGGGACGAATCAACTCGCTTTGACAGTTCTAATGGGAATATTATTTAGTCATACAACAAAATGAAGTTTGGACATAGTAATAATAGAATATGTATCTTATTTGTTAGATGAGAGATTGAAAGATGAAGTATAATGATTAAAAATTAATTATTATTTTTCATGATTCACAAAATTTAATAAATACTTATCATCTTGTTGAATAATTCTAAAATCATATTCAAAAAATCTTTATAAATTGAAAATTAAACTTCTTTGGTAAGCTATAGGTATGAAAATATCATAATTTCGATTTAATCTAATTAAATTAAAATTAGTTACATGGATTTCATATCTATTTAAGGGAAATTGTTAAAAATGCCCTTTTTGGTGTGCCCCTTTTCAAAAATGCCCCTTTTAGATGTCCATTTTCAAAAATGCCCCTTTTTAAATCTGAAATTTTTATAAAGTTTTATTAGGTTTATAAGGTACTTATCCATTGTAACTACTACTTGAAGACTCGATCCAAGTATTTATAAGGCTTTATAAGGTGTTTTTAAAGGTTTTACAAGTTATTTTAAAGGATTTTAAAGGTTTTTCAAAGGTTTTACAAGATATTTTAAAGGTTTTTAAAGGTATTTAAAATGCATTTATAAAGTATTTATAAGATTTTAGATACATAGAAATGTAGTTTGTGTATGTTTTAATAATGTTACATACATATTTGGGTAAATCTTATATTTTTAAGAGCATTTTTAATAAGGTTTTAAAGAAGGGGCATTTTTGAAAAGTGGCATTGAAAAAGGGGCATTTTTGCAAAAGCCCCCTATTTAATTTACACGACCAAAATAAAAATATCTATTTAATTTATACGATCAAAATAAAAATATCAATTTAATTTATAAAACAGATGGGTTATTTGTGATAAATTTTCTAGAAATCTTTAGAATCAAATAAAATATCTTTCAATTAATGATAATTGGCTAAAATGAGCGAAATTAATGACAAAAACGTTGATTGTTATGGAATTAGTCCCAAAAATATATGTACAAATTTATTATACGTAATTAATGTATAATATTGTTCGGAATATGCTTTTATTATTAGTTACCATAAGTACAATCAGATTTTATTTGATTTCCATAAATATTTGATTTTATTTCGATTTTTCATTTTTAATTCGAATTTATATTCCAAAAAAATTTCAAAGATCCGATTTCAGAATTTCGGGTCAATTTTCTGATTTTAACCCGATCCATTTTCATTTGTACTTCTCTTTTAATAGTATAGAGATTATAAAATAATCATGTAAAATCAAATATAATATTTAATATAAAATCAAAATATTATATTAAATATTATTTTTGATTTTATGGGATTATTCTCTATTTTTAAAGATAAAAAGTAAAATTGCAAACATATGTGATTTTTGAATATTTTTTTGCACAAAACCGATTTTTTATTATGGTCTTGGTTTTATCAACCATTCTACAAATTAGATTATAAATGGTTCAATGTAACCGAGGAGCCCATTGACGAGTTTTGTTGAGAGAAGGAGAGAAGACGACGTTGTTAGCTATGTTAGGCCAAAAGGCCTGCGATATAAAGGAAATTTGATAAATTGGTTTTAATTCCGGTTCGGTTCAGTTCAGTTCGGGGGGACCTGATTGAAATTTTTGGTTAGTTGTTTCTTTTGTTGCTCAGCGAGGGAGAGAGAAGCGGATCGTTAATGGAGAAAAATGGAAAGTTGTTTTCGCTATTTCTGGGATGAACTAGACCTGATCATAAGGAGCCTTTTGTTCTTCCGATAAACTCTTCCACTCTTCTCCGGTTATCTTAGCGACCTATACTCATCATTCATCAACACAAACTTAGCTTAAAGAGTTTCAAATGAAATTGAGAACAGACAACTTCGAATTCTTTTACTTACCTCAATAACGCTTTTGTTTTCTCCTTTTAAAGCAGCTCTCCCCTCGTTAGCATAGATCAGGTAAGCAAATATTGGATGTTTAGGCTTCAACGGATCCTTTATCTTCCTACAAAAATAAAATGCAGTCAGTTATCTTACTTATGATTCAAACCAAATCAGTTCTTGAGTGAAATTATAGTGGAAAGAAGTCAGTTTTTTACTTGGCCTTTTTCTTGTTGTCTTGTTCAGCTTCTTGAACAAACTGAAGATACTGATCAAGCAATTCCATAGCAGTTTTCTGCTTCTGCTGATCATCAAGAAGCTTCATGGCTTCCCTCTCTCGCTTCTCCTTTGTAATAACCTGAAGATAAGCTTCCTTATCCGCCTGATACTTCTCCTCATAAGGCTTATTCTCTTCTACACTAATCCCTTTCCACTTAGCACCAAAAATATTCGAAGTCTCCTTGAAATCAGCTTCAGGATTCGGCTTCTTCACTTCGTTCCAATTATGCTTACACCACAAAATATAAGGTTTTAATGTAATAAAGGAGGTATCTTGACTACGCAATAGGAGGTTTCGTTAACTACAAGATGGACGCATGTTGTCCTTTGTGGTTGGCTTTGTTCACGTGTGAGAGTAAGATTGGCAAGTTCGTTTTCTTCGAGCTTTTGTTTAAATAAAGGAGTGTATTGAATAAAGGAGTTGGAGTGATTTTTATTAAAATGACGAATCCTAAGTTATTCAAGCATGAATTTTAAATTTCTTTTCTAAAAGCAAATGTTATTGGATTAGTACTTTAAAAATGTTATAATCAAATCGAGTATTATTGGAAATATTTGAAGTCATTTGAGTGACTTTAGGTGAGATTTCAGAAAATTTATTAGTTAAAAATACAAAGATACAAATATCATGGTTTTAGGTGAGATTTGAGAGAATTTTAATAACAAACTAGATGAATACCCACGCTACGCGTGGGTTTGTTTTAAAATTTGTTAATAACAAATTATTTTGATTATTCTTGTTGCTAGTTGATCACCCGCTTTACGTCGCGGGTTTTTTTCCGTTTTTTAAATTTTGATTTATTTGATGTTATGTTTTGATAAATGTAATTTTTAATTATATAATCATTTATGGGAAATTGTTAAAAATGCCTCTTTTTCAATACCCCTTTTGAAAAATGCCCCCTTTGAGAGTCCATTTTTAAGTTTGCCCTCTTTTAATTTTTAATGACCATTTTACCCTTATTTGAAACAAAATTAGGTCCACAAAATACAAAATATTTTTTGGCGGGAAAAGTGATCCTGCAATTTTCCCGCCAAAACACTTGTAAAAACCTTTAAAATACCTTGTAAAATTTTCCCGTAAAAATTTTTCCCGCCAAAATTTTTTTTTTGCGGGAAAAGTGATTCCGCAATTTTTTTGGCGGGAAAAATTTACAAGGTATTTTAAAGGTTTTACAAAGTATTTACAAGTGTTTTGTAAGGTTTTACAATGTATTTTAAAAGGTTTTATAAGGTACTTATAAGGTATTTATAACTTGTAATACCTTATAAAAAAACTTGTAAAACCTTATAACTTGTAAAACCTTATAAAATAGCTTGTAAAATCTTAGAATATCTTATAAATACCTTATAAGTACGTTGTAAAACTCTTTTAAAATACATTGTAAAACCTTATAAATACCCTGTAAAAAACCTTTAAAATACCTTGTAAATTTTTCCCGCCAAAAATTTAACGCCAAAAAAATTGCGGAATCACTTTTCCCGCAAAAAAATTTTTTGGCTGGAAAATTTTATAAGGTATTTTAAAGGTTTTACAAGTGTTTTGGCGGGAAAAATTGCGGGATCACTTTTCCCGCCAAAAAATATTTTGTATTTTGTGGACCTAATTTTGTTATATTTCCTTATATATTTGTGATATCTTTTATTAAAAGAAGGGTAATTTAGTCATTTTGTACATAAAAAGGGGTATTTTTAAAAATAGTCAGCCAAAAGGAGCATTTTTGAAAAGGGGTATTGAAAAATGAGCATTTTGTGAGTCTCCCATCATTTATTTACTCATACAATGAACAACTACTCTTAGTATTAAAATACATTTTCAATCAACATACTCAACATACTCAACAATCTTTGTCCTAAACCAATTTTATAGATGGTAATGTTGGGATTATAGAACCTCAAAAATTTGATGACCTTACGTACTCTTCACCCTCAGTGTCATATATAGATCAAAAAATTTAAGAGAAAAACTTACTCAAACCATTAGCTAATCCACTATATTATTATCCACTCATATTTTGAGTTAAGATTACAAAAATTAGCGAAAAAAACTTTATAGTATATAAAACCAATAAAATAATTTCATTGAAAAAAAAAAATAACCAAATAAGTTAGTATTAATAGAAATCAATATGTAAAATTAAATAATATATATAATTAAATAATAAATATATTGTTAACTTGTGAAATAGATTTTCAAATCCATATGGCCTATCCGTCATGGGCTATTCTGTTTTCTCCATTTGACAATTCTAATTAAAAGATGATGATATGTAAAAAATATAAGTTGAATCATATTAATGAAATGTTTTGATTGGAAGAATAGAAAGCTGATGTGTCAGCTCCAGAATAGCCTAAAATGCTGACATGGCGGAAAGATGGAGAGAGAGAGCCTCCTTTCATATATATGATTTTCTAGTTCACCAAAATCATCTTAAAACTCAATAAAACTCAAATCACTCTAAATTTATCATGCAATACACCTCCTAAGTTTCCGGAGATTTCTAGTGTTTACGCCGCTTATGTATTTTAACAATGTATTTTTTGTGATATTAATAAAAACAGACACGACAAAAAAAAAAGAAAGGTATTCAAACGTTCTAACTCTTTTTACCACACAAAAAAAATTAATTGTACATTATAACTCTAGAATTTTTGGATCTTGACCCGCTAGAATTTCTCATCTCTATATATAGAAGAATTGAGAAGAAAAAAAGATGATATTTTTCAACTTGCCTTATAGTAGAAGAATTATTTGCGCTGATTTTTTCTATTTGGAGGATTTTTTTCTTTTTTACACTGTTACACTTTTCTTCCTAACTGGTAAAACATTAATACACCGTGGAAGAATTTTTTTAATTCTGATTTCTTTTCCTCTATCACATACAACCAGTTAGATCCTATATATAACTCTTTGTTATGTATTTTGTCACTTAAAAATAATTTTATATTCATAAAAAATGTTTCAAAAGTGTTTTTTATAATAATTCTTCTTTTATACCATTTTTATTCATAAATTGTTTTAACATCTCTAGAAAATATTTAAGATATAACTTTAAAACATAGTTAAATTTATGTACTAATTTAAATATTTGAATATATTATCATAATCTATACTATTAATTGGGAATCACTCAAACATAAGTAACCTTATTTTGGTAGATTAATTACAAAGAATGCCATTGGTATTTTTAAATTTGAAAAAAAAATAGATAATATCCATTTGATATTTGTTTTTTTATATAAAATAAAATCCAAAATTAAATCAACAAATTAATAACTACCCAATATTTATGGAAATTGTTTGAAATAGTTCCCATAAAATAAACAAATTAATAACTAGCCAAGATTTATAGAAATCTTTTAAAGTAGTTTCCATAAAAAATCTAACTATTAATTTCAAAATTTTATATATGTAAACTTATTTAATTTCATAATATATTTTGAAATATTCCGTAAAACAAAAAAAAATCAATTTAATATCATCATATATTTTCGATTTTAATTTCTTTCTTTAAGAAAATATACAAATAAATTCTGATTAATGGAAGTCCTTTTTTTGAAATTGTAGATATATTAACTTATTTATTTTGGCAAGGTAATGTTAGATATTTCCGGAAGCGACAGTCCAATTTAATATAATTGAAAAATAACAAAGCATAGTTTAGTTTTTATTTTTAAAATTTCCATAATAGAACTATACTAATTAATTTTGATTAGTTTAGATGGAAGAAATAAAAAGCAAATTTGATTATTCCAATGTTTTAAGAAACAATTATTATATTTCCCAAATATAATATAAACTAGATATTTTGTATTTTGAAATATAGAATATTCCTCGAATAAATTAGAGATTTTAGATCCGTCAAAATCTCGAAATATTTTGTGATTTGAATGCAATTCATAAGCCCTAAACAATCCAAACTTTCATCTCATGTTTTGATTTATTTAATTAAATATAATAATTTTAAAAAATCAGTAAATATATATTAGGCTAATAAGGCTTTATTAGCAGCCTATAAAATGTTGCCCACTACATAAAAAATAACATATGTAACATATGTATCACTACATTAAAATTGTCAGACCATATAATAATATAATCAGTTTAAAGATTAATTAAGAAAATTATTATTACAACAATTAAAAAATTATCATGTGTTTTTTTCTCATGGTTAACACACTATTGTTTTAAAACATTTACACACAACTCTTCACTAACCATAATTTTTTCCATTTACACCAAACTATTAATACACCACATAAAATAAAATTGTTTTTGTAACACTATTGTATATCAATAAAAACTATAATATTTTCACATTTTATATAATTTTTTACTATTTTTAGTTTAAAATTTTTAAGATTTACAATTTTATAAAATTTACCCCGCACGACGTGCGGGTCCAGATCTAGTAATTTAATACATGAGCATAATCAAATATATTTGTTGAAAGAGTATTCCCCCCAACTTTTTTTTTCCTCCGAGTATTCCCCCCAACATCACGAAAAAAAGAGGTATTAAAACGTTCTAACACAAAGGGAAAAAAAAAAAGCTTCAGAGGAACAGAATCGGTCTCGTTCTCTATAATCTCTCTCTCTCTGTGACTTGTGCTCTGATAAGAATCAATGGCGAAGGAATTAGCAGAGAAAGCTAAAAAAGCTTATTTAGAAGATGACTTCGATGTTGCTGTTGACTTATACTCCAAAGCCATTGAGTTGGATCCCAATTGCGCCGCCTTCTTCGCCGATCGTGCTCAGGCCAAGATCAAAACCGATAACTTCACTGGTATAACTCACTCTTTTTTCTCTAAATTCATCGTGAAAGGCCAATTTTGATTTCGATATGAGGTTATAGTTTTAGGGTTTCTTTTGTCTTTGCCCAAAAAAAAAAGGGTTTCTTTTGGGAGGTTGTGTTGTTACCTTATTCGGATAAGAAAACTTATTTGATGGGTTTTCCTTTCCACGCAATTGATTTGAGTAATTGTAATTGCTTTGTTTCATGTGAATTTGGCACTGATTTGATGTTCGTATGTGTATCATTTGCTTATCATTGGGAAACGAATTGATCTCAACCTTGTTTTCTTGTAGCTTATGGATTGTGTGTTCGTTGACCTTATTGTTTACTGGATTTGCTTCTCTGTTGTCCTCCTTTTTTATTTGCTTTGTTGTTCTGAGTACTCACTGATCTATGAACTTTGGAGTTGCTTCTTTATCTAGCTAAACCAGTTGCTTACTGTTTTGCTTATTCCTCCTCAGTACTTTGGTTGAATTTTTTTTGATGATGTGATGTTTTATCTTTTGTGGTTTTCCATGAGCAGGAGCTGTTGCAGATGCGAACAGAGCCATCGAGTTAGAACCAACATTGGCAAAAGCCTACCTCAGAATGGGGTATGTTATTGTCATCTTCTCTCTGTATTTAAGTTTAATGATGATTTGATTGGAATCATAATTGTATTTTCTGATACTTTTATGTATTTGCAGCACTGCTTGTATGAAGCTAGAAGAATATCGTACTGCTAAAGCAGCCCTGGAAAAGGGCGCTTCTGTTGCACCGAATGAACCAAAATTTAAGAAGATGATAGATGAATGCGATCTTCGCATTGCAGGTATATTACATAGGTTACGGAAAAAAGTATTAAACGATTCTCAATATTTGTCTGCACCTAGGCTTTGATTTTTGATATAGTCTTTATATCCTTGTTCAACTAGTGCCACCGAGTTTGCCTTCAAGCTCTACAACGCCACTAGCAACCGCGGATAAGTCTAAAAAGAGAAATCGCGGATCTGATAGTGAAGATAATGCAGATGGATCTAAGAAAGTAAGATTTGGTTTTGTTTTTCCTTTCTTTTTTTTCTGTTGTGATTTTTTTTTTTTGACTCACTCTCTCTTTCTCCTCTAAAGAGGAACACACGTTTGGAACAGGAGGAATCCAAGTGTGAAGTTTTCAACGTTTCAGATCTTATCAACTCTGTTAAACAGATTGATCCCACACCTCCTCCAAAAGAGTCTAATATTTATACTCTCCCTCCCAGCGAAGATTATATTGAGGCCTTTTACTCTGTAAGTAAAACTTTTTATTTTGATTTGTTGTATAATTGTATTGTAGTTTTAATTTAATACAATTTTATTACTCTAATTTTACTTTTGTTCTCTTCATTTTCAGCCAACTAACGTCGCTATAGGCGAACTCAACCGAACGTGTTCTCTAAATGATGTGTAAGTATCTCATTTACTACACATTTTAATTAATAAATAATTTTTTTGAAATTATAATTATTATAATTAAGTATTTGAGATAAAATTTATAATTAGATAACTTTTGATATATTTAGAAATTTATCTCTAGGAAAAAATAGTTTTATAATAAAACTCATCTTAGGTAATTACTTATAACCTCTTATCAAATTTAAAGTTTAATATAGTCAAATTAGTTTTTTTTTTCCATTATTTCTTTTTTACTAAGCTGATTTTTTAAATAAAAAAAAAAAACTTGTTTTTCTGTTTGTTTTATCATTTCTTTTGTTTAGTTGGAAATTTTGTTGGTACAGTATTTTTATTTTCAAACCTTACTAATGAGTTTACCGATGAAAAGGTTGATGATAATGATGAGAAGCTTTTAAACTATAAACAAAAAAAATGTCAAATCGCATGTTTATATATATATTCGAATCATTTTTATTTTTTTCCAGACGTAGTTTCTTTACCGAACGTCATATATATCCCGTTGATGTGGTGCCAATTGGGAAGCACGGGTCTTGGAATATAACTTTCAAATCTTCCGAAGATATGAAAGCTGCATTAGAGTTAAATGGGCAATATATTAAAGACCCTGCATTATTGAACCCAAAAAAACGTGAAAGTTATAGGGTTTTCCTGGGGAGGGTGGCGGGAAGGTACTTTTTATTTTCATATGTTTTATTTTCTATTTTACTGTATTATTTATTTAAATATAATTTTATGATTATTGTGATTTGGAATTGTGATTGCAGCTTAGCTCCATATATGTTTACTGGATTTGATGGATTGGATAGAACAGAAATAGATGGTATTAGTGAGCTTGAGAAAATGTTAAGGGTCCAGTTTAAAAAATACAAGGATGTGAAGATATTTATTCCCGTAGATGTGGAGACTCGTCAATTCAAAGAGTATGTTTAGTAATTTTTTTATTTTATTAATTTTTTAATTTCTTACTTATACAAGTAATTTATTCTAAAAATTTTTTTCCCAGCTTCGGTTTTATGTATGTCAACGAAGATGGAAATAATGTTATGTTATCGGTGAAGAAATCAAGCAGTTTTACATTGGAACGAAACAAATTAGTGTGAAGTCGTTTATTCCAACTCTTAAACTTCACTCAATAATGAGCTCAATGTCTTAGTTCCTATTAGATATGTAATTTCTTATATGTACTCAATTGTTTTGTCATCAATACTCTTTGAGATTTATGTTCTTTGAGGTTTCGTGTTCTGGGTCAAACCGAGTTTAATCATGTTTAGTATTACAGTTGTCTTTTCAAAATCAACCAACTAGAGGTGCAGACTGCAGAACACAATCTCTTGCTTACCTTTGCTGTTTGGGACCACATAATTTGGATCTCAAACAAGTAGACCTCTTCATCATTTCAATAAACAAACTAGGATACGTCTTTTTGTTGAAAATTCTCCTTAGTGAAATCGTTTATTAAAGAAAAGGTTACGACATATATTTATTAGAAAAATGAGGAACACTTATCTGAATTCTTACATTGGCTGTTACAATAGGCAAGTGCCCAACTCAACACTGTATCTTGTTAAGAACTACTTTGCGTTCGTTCACTGGCCCATTCGAGGGCATAAGAGAGGTCAAGATGGTGAACAAGCTGCTTTAGCCGTTCTGCGTGGCTTATATGTTCTTTGAGGTTTCCTGTTCGGGGTCAAACCGAGAAGATTAAGTATCGGTATAAAGCCATATAAAGGGCTTTGTTGAGTTTTAAAAATGAGATAAATGATAAACAATTAAGTACCTGAACAGGAAGTTCTTGTTTGTCGCTTGTGATACTTGAGATCACACTTGTCCGAGAAGAGTTTGATGAAAATCCCTCCCATCCCATTGATGGATAAATATCAGTTTTGTGCATTGTACAGGTGTGATGCTTCGGCTTAGTTTTTCCCACCAAACTGATCCTAGTGACCACCATCTGATCATCAAACCGTTTTCTGAAAACGCAACCAATCCCTACAATTCAAAGAGACTTTATTCTTAAGGATCTCAAGGCTATTCTTCAGGAACTTGTTCACTTGAAAGTTTAGTGCATAAGCTACAATTTCTTTAAATAAATTTTACCTCTCCATCTGGTGAAAAGCTGAGAGCTGATATTGCTGTTGTTACTGCAGATTCTGAAGCTCCTCTCAGCAAATTTGGGAGACCCGGAGGGCCACTCGCATCCAAAACCCTTATTTTTGTCATACTGCAATTCAAATTACAGAAACCAATAAGAAACTGAGATAAAGGTAGGACGAAAATCCAAAGCATGCAAGGTTTTGTACCTTTGCATGTCATATATGCGGATACAGGGTTGATCTCTGTGATAGCATTGCCAATTGCCAGCCTTGTTGATGAATCGTTTGGGATTACCACTGGAAATACACGCACAACTTCCCTCAGTGTAGCCATTGAGGTTTGCAGGCAAGTTTTACGCATGACAGTGTTTGCTTGGGTCCATTGTTTGAAGAACAAAATTAACTACCTGCAAGATTTTCTGAACTATGTTACAACATATAACAGACAAAATGTCTTGTTTATTCAAATCTCACCTCTCCTCACTGAATTGTAAAAACAGATGCGACAAACCTTCTCAAGATGCAGCACCAGATTTCTCGGAGCAGCACGGATTACTCTGATGAGAGTTCTGAGAGATACTACATGAACAGGAGAATCGGAAGCGGTAGACCATATTTGGCTCTCTATTAATGCTAAGAAAGCCAAGGACATCCGCCATGGCTAAACTTGGAAGAAGAATTTCGACCAGAGTCTCCTTTATAGACGATGGTACAGCTTGATGTGCTCCTATTGAGGAATTGACACTCTTTTTGGAAAAATATGTCTGAAACTATCCGAGGAATGTCAGGTCCGATCCATGTTTTCCATGTAGTCTCCATTCCTTCTGAGAGAAGCTCCGCAGCAGTCGAGCTGTATTTCTCACTCATGGCCATAACCAGGTTCAACAATTTGTGGACGACTAGCATGGCTAGACCAGGTTTTACTAGACTTGGGTACCAGATTGATAAGGCAGCCGCAACAATGATGTGAGCCGCCATTGCGTCCTGATTTGTTCCCCCAATGCAAGAAATCCAGTCTTGCATTTCAAAAGATTCAAGCCAGGAGAGTAGTTCTGACTCCTCAGCCTGAGAAAGCCGTTGAGCTTGATGGATATGCTCAGAGTCCACACTGTTTGTGGGATATTCTTCCCCTGTGCTAAGAACTTTAGGTTCGTTCAGACTGATTCCAGACAGGGATATCACCAGTTTTGCATGTTCAGATGCGTGATCACTGCATAATGGAAGAGGTATTTCCAAAGAAGCAGTGTGGTGGAATAATGACCGAGCAGCCATACGAACTTGTTCGCTTTTATCTTGCCAGAAAGTTACCAAAAGCTACAATAAAATAAAAAGAAATTAAGAATGTCACCTCAACCCACATAACATCTGGTGCAAATAGCCAAAGAACTCACCTGAAGTAATGGTGGCTTCAGATCTGGATATTTCTCATCCAGATTTCGTTTGTAGAATGCTGCCAAGTTGCTGTAAGTGAAAAAAAAAAAACAAAATTAGTTTACACATGTGAGAATAAAACATGTACATAAATGTTTTTGCAAGTAGCGAGATGGTCCAGAATCACATGCTGTACCTGCTATATGTGGCAGTGGAATGTGACAGACTTATCATGCATTGAGCAAGCGACACCATCATCACTGACCTCAACGCAGAAAACTCCGAAGATGATTTCCAGAGCTGGAACGTTTTATGAAATCCCAGAGAAAGAAGGATATTGTTGAAATATGTGCGGTTGTGACATCAATAGAGGTCATCAAGAATACCTCAAGTGTTGCATTCAAACCGGGGAATGCTAATTTCAAAGACCCTTTGTCCCCCTGCAAACCGGAGGTTACAATAAAACTCTCTGGTCTTTTTAGCTTTAGATGTGCTACTAGCATTTGATCGAGTTCAGAATCTATACCCCACAAATGCAGAAAGGATAAACTAAATCGAATTAGATATTCCCCAATTGCCTTGTCCATGTCAACAACTTCTGCAGGGTTATCAAGAGTCTTCTGGACAGGAGACTTGTCATTTGAAGTCTTCTGCTGAGCAGTTGGCTTATCACTCTTCTCTTCTAGCATCTTATGCATATCAGAGTCTTCATGTGTTTGACAAGAAACTGCTAAAGACGAAAGATCGAAAATCAGAGTAGATATTCCAGGGAATGGGCAAGTGCATTTGATGGGAGGGTATCTGATGCTTTGGAGAAAAGACGAAGCAATAGAACTCTCTTCTCTAGCCTTTTCCTGCGAAGCACTTGGCTTAGATGTTGACAAAGAGGCTGCTCGCTCATAGTTCTTCAAATAAAATGGTTTCCTCTCTTCGTCTACTGGGAAAAGCAAAGAAGAAACTGACGTATTTCCATTTAACACAGTGCCAGAATAAGATTTCTCACTAATGCCTGCACAGAAATGATCAAACATCGAATGTGAAGCTGCCCCATTGAGGACACGTTCCCGAGCACCTGTCTTCGCATCCCAAATGTACAAGACATCAATTGGATCTGATTTTCTCGAAAGGGAGCGGAAAAGACATGCAATGTAGCCTCTTGTACCATCCCATACGACTTTTGTAGGATAGTTTGGGTGCCCAGGAAACATCCTTTCAACACGCAAAGTCTCAAGAGAAGAAAGAGCAACACATGAATCATCCCCAACAGATAGAAAGCAATTGCTCCATGGGCGTTCTGTTCGAGCTGGGGCTAGAATGATCTGGCGCACCGGAGCAACATGATGATGCATGATCATGATTACATTTCCACTTTCGAGATCCCAAATGCGGATGGTACAGTCCATACTTCCCGAGATCAAAACATGAGAAGAACCACATCCATTTGCATCCCCAAACATTCGATGCGCTGCTAAGCATAGAACAGATCCTGTATGTCCCAATAGACGCTTTCTAGAGACGAATGAATCAGTGTCAGATCTCGGGCTTGAAGCAGGAGAATCAAGTCCATGAAGAAAATCAAACTTTGCAATTTCTATCTCACCACTAAAGAAACCATAGACAACAGCATATGGGACATACATGTTCTCAGAAATAACCATGGACGATGACACGCACTGTCTATTGTCACTAACAAAGCTTTGTAGACCATTTTCGGTACTGCATTGACTTCCTAAATGGGAAATACCGGTTTCTGCACTAATGGAGCCCGTGGTATCTAAACAACAGCTTGAAATCCAATCAGCAAAATAGGAGCCTTCTCCAAGCAATTTGCGCTGAAGTTCTTTTTCACTACCTATTCCTCCTAGGCATAGTGACCAGACAGTTATATGGGGCCTCCATTGAGAAGGTTGTTCAACATCACAACAGGTAGACTCAACGCGAAGAAGATACTGCCTCAACTGTACAAAACAAAACGTTGATTTCACGGAATGCTTATCAGGGGGAGTAACAATCTCACCGAGGTTTTTATACGTAAAATCTCCATCTATATATGACATAACAAACAGCACAGCAGAACCATTATCATCCCACAGCACAAAAGTTTCGGAAATTCTATCATCTTTATCACCTTCGATAGTTGATGTACTAGAGTAAAGTATCATTGCTTCTTTGAAATGAAAATTTGGAGAATGATTTTCAGAACAAAGCGAATCATCAACAAAAGATATCTCTCCTATTGCCTCCTCGCGATTCAACAACCAAAAGACACACCTATTCTTTGAGAAAAAAGCAACAAGATTCCCTCGGGTTATCACTGATACAGCTATTTCCCCTTCATTTAACCAGTTCCTAGACACAACAGAGCCTTTGCTCGATTCAGATACATCTTCACCCTTCTCAGAGTTCTCTGACACAGGAACCAACTGCAACCTACCAAACGAATCCGCCATGAGCAACGATTCCTGCTCCTCCAATTGCACCACACCCATAAAATTCAAATAACCAATAGACAAATTCCCATGGAAAACTGTATGAACAATCGTAAGAGTATAAGTATCAACAACCACCACAGTACACCTCGACGGTTTCCTGTTCTGAAAATCAGTATCTGCTAAAGTCTCAGCCCCATCAACAGTATCAACAGATTGAGTATCAATATAAGAACACCCAACACATACATATCTAGGCTCTGATGGCAAAGTACACAAAATCGACGGACTTCCAACCCAAGGAGGTAACTTTCTACGCCGCCTACAATGACCACTACTTCTACTCCATACACACAATACACCATCAGAACAAGCACTGATCAATGCACAACAGTTAACAAACGGATCCGCGTTACCATTATCCGAACAATCTGATGTAACTCCGTTCCCTGAAACCGTAGTAGGATCACAAACGGCAAGATCCACTATTGGTGCAGTATGGCCACACAACATAGCAATCGGCTTAATCTCGGAAGACGAGAGACGAGTTACCGAATTGGACTCGGAAGAAGACGAGATGCTCCACCAGATGATTGACCCATCGGATCCACCGGTATAGAGAGTCGGTGGATTTGTTAGAGAGGCTGTGGCGGTGACTCGATGAGATGGAGGAGCTCGAGACCAGAGGCAGGCCACGGATCGGCACTTCATCGGCACGAATCAAGCACCAACCGAGTCAGTGAACGAGTCGGGGTGAGAGAACAAGGAAGAACCAAAATGGTAAACGACGTCGTAGACCATTTTGTCTCGTTCAATATTGTCTGGACTCTGGAGCAAGAATACCCTGAAAAAAAAATTATTTTTCAATTACTAAAAATTATATAAAACTCAAAATAGATCAAATATTTTTCGATCAATACAATAAAAACAACAAAAGTCTCTACAGTGTTGACACCTCAGCTTTTTGGAGTGTTCTGGAGGTGATACCTCAGTAAAATCGATACCCAATCAAAACATATCGAATAATACAACTCAAATTTGTCTTCCAATAATATTATTCTATTTTGGGAAATATCACAAACTATGCTCAGACGAATGTATAATTAGGTGAGTAAAATAGGTACTATTTCTACAGTAGTAAATCTAAGAAGATTACTCTACTATCCTTCTTTATTTATTTGTTTTTTTTTTAATCTCTCATCTTCCTCGCTCTCCCTCTCTCTTCTTCGTCAACCATTTCCGGTGAAATTCCGGCCAAGAGTTCATCACATAAACTTGACATAACAAAGTTAAAACGAAGTGGGTTTTTAATTCCGTGAAGGGTAAAGCCAAGGTGGAGCGGTTTTCGATTCTGGCGGAGTCTATGGTTCTATTTTCGGTTCAGTTGGTGTCGTTCAAGTAACAATAAAAAAATGAAAGGTGACTGTGGATGTCGGATTCACACACTCAAGTATTTTTATTAAGTGGGAAAGACTACTCTTGAAGGACAAAAATGAATATGTAAAAGCTTGTAAATTGCTACGGAAATTGGTATAGTCTTTTTTTCTTGAGAGGAAGCCCCCCCTTACATGGCCATTGGCCTTTGTATTTATACATAGGAAACCGTCATTAAAATGAATAATTAAGTATAATTATTCTCTCTTAAATATGTCCGTTTTGATCTTCGGTTTTAATGCCTCAACGTTTGAATTTGAATTGACTCTGATCTTCATGGGCCCCGCCTTTTGGCCCAAATGTCTTTAAACCGATTCAACCGTGATTTCGATGCCACGACTCATGCCGAAATGCAGTCACTTCGGATCCTCCTTGTGGCGATGCTCACTTCGACTGTTCCCTTGGCTCACGGATCCGACGGGCTTTATCCTTTATGGGTCTTTATCTTGACTACGTGGCAATCTTTGGTTGGTCTCGGACTTCTGGTGCGGGATCTGACACCAACAATTATCCCCCCAAGTTCTTCGAAGTGCTATTCCAATTCGGAGGACTTTAAATGCTTTAATGACCAAAGATTGCGTTCCGAGGAATCTTCTGATTTTCCCGCCAAGATCCCATCAGTCCTTTAATTTCGGTGCTACCCATATTTAGTCGCGTGACATCTGTCGCCATTATGACCGCATATCGTTTATTTACTATTAAAGCGGGAAAAACCTTCCCACTTCTTCCACGATTTCCAAGACGGTTCCATCATTATCACCTAGCTTGCGTGAGGTAACCTTCTTTTTCATTATTACTTTTACACTTGATCTTTGTGGTTAAAAACTCCTTCTACTTCTCTCTCCAAATTCTTCTTTTTCCCGAAACTTGAATTTTTCATTCTTCCCAATGACTTCCGATTCCGATAGACCCGAATCTCCGTCTTTTGATGAGAGGCGTTCTAGCAATGACGAGTGCACCCGCTCTAATGATATTGCCGGTCCGCACTATAGATCCACCTGCACCCTTCAGTCCCTCGAACGATTGAAGGAGCTCTGCCGAATCCCACCGGGAATTATGGCGGAGGCGCAGATAGCTGATCCTACGGAGTCCCCAGAAAACCATCGCGACGGCTATTTCTGTGTATATGAGATCTATTTTAAAGGTTGCGGGCTGACTTTTCCTCTTCCCGAAGCCCTAGTTCGATACCTAGCAGCTCTTGAAATCGTTCTTCCTCAATTAACCCCCAATCTTCTTCGTACTGTTCTTGGAATTATAACAATCGCGACGGAGGCCGGATACGTTATCGTAGTCACTGAACTAAATGAGCTTCTAAGTGTGAGAAGTTCATCGAAGAAAACGGGGTATTTCTCAGCATATCCTAACGCCAACAGGAACATCATTTCGCATCTTCCGAACAAGGATGAAAATTGGCATCATCCTTGGTTTCTGATTAAGAAAACTCCCGCTTCGATTGGAAATCTTGCAGATTTTCTCCCTTCGAAGTTGTCCGCGAAACCTGGTAGAGATTAGGTCGCCCGTATCTTTCCCGGTTGTTTCTTTATCTTTATTGACTAACACCGTTGTTTCATTTCGCAGCTTTCGTCGGTTCCACTGTCCCATCTGAAGAGTTCATCGAATTCGTCAAATAATTCTTGAAGGGGAAATCCTTTGGAATTCTTTCACTCTTGAACGATTCCTAGAAGCTAACCACAGACTCAGGATGACTCCACCAGGTCATCTTCACCAACTTCCGCCTCCTTCCTCAACTTAGGGGATGTCATCTCGGGCCCTTGCGGCCAAGCGTAAGATGCTTTCCAAGCCAATGGCTGAGGCTTGCGAGGAGAAGAAAAAGTTTCTCGCGACTTCCATAGACAAGAAGGACTACAGTAAGACCTTGCTGGTTGATGATGGCAGCACCGAAGGAGCCAGATCCGTTGCTTCTTTCAGGTTAACTCCTCGTCGCAATCGTCATGATTCACGTTCTCCTCGGAGGGACCGATCTCCTCGCCGTGATTCACCTCATCCTCCCCGAGATGATTTTAGCAACGAACCAATTAAGAACTTGGTTCGCCGGAAGAGAGACAAGTCCTCTCGTAGTGATTCTTCTCCGCGAAGGGAAAAGTCAAGGGCCCAGACTGACCGTTCACCTCGATCATCTCCCCCTACTGAACCAATGGGTCCTCCACGACCGGTTGATATGTCTTCCTCTTCCCATCCTGACAGTGAAAAGACTGCCCGGAGCGCATCTCCCAAAAAGGGAGATTCTGAATCCCGAGATGCTTCCTCGAGGTTAAAGCCTGCTCTTGTCCCTCAAGTCAAATCGCTTTCAGGTTTGGTGATTCACACAGTCTTAAAAGTTTTTGTCTCTATTCAGATTCTGATTTTTTACAACTTTTCTTCCTTTGCAGCTATGGAGAAGGAAGGCAGCGTTTTCCGATGCTTCAAGACCCGATCGGGTTCGATGAGGTTCTATTTAAACTCTATGAAGATGATGAGGTTCTATTTAAACTCTAGCATCTTTGCCCAAAAACAAAATTAAACTCTAGCATCATGACGTGAGCTAAGATATTCCCAAAATTTTGAAATAGTTACTTGCTTTGGAAAAAAAGAAATTATATATTTGTGATTATTGCTCACACCAATAGATCTCTATATATAGGGAGTGGAATGAGATATTATCTCTAGTTGATTTTTAAGTTAAGCCATTCAGTTAAAAAAAAAAAAGATTTATGAGATACATGCAAATCTTGAGATAATTTCTAAAAATCTTAATATATAATATAAGATTTTCCTGTTTTGAGTACATTTTCCATATATATCATTGATCTCATTAAACAACTAAAAGAAGATTTTACTCGATTATTATATACTGTATCAAGATTTGAGTTTGTATAATCATTTAATTTAAATTTTTTTATAAGAAAGTAATAGTATTTATGTATCAAAATCAAAAACGATACAAACAAATAATTAAAAATCTTCATAACTTTTAAGTTATAATACATGTTTTGATAGATTAAACCATGTATGTAACCACTAAAACAAAAAAAAAATGTTTGTAACAAAATTACATAATTTAAATATTGTTTGTACTAACAAAATTACATAATTTATGTAACAAAACAAAAATTTTAAAAAATATAACAGTATTTCGGCGGATTTTAAATTTTAAAATATAGAGAGTCGGTGGATTTGTTAGAGAGGCTGTGGCGGTGACTCGATGAGATGGAGGAGCTCGAGACCAGAGGCAGGCCACGGATCGGCACTTCATCGGCACGAATCAAGCACCAACCGAGTCAGTGAACGAGTCGGGGTGAGAGAACAAGGAAGAACCAAAATGGTAAACGACGTCGTAGACCATTTTGTCTCGTTCAATATTGTCTGGACTCTGGAGCAAGAATACCCTGAAAAAAAAATTATTTTTCAATTACTAAAAATTATATAAAACTCAAAATAGATCAAATATTTTTCAATCAATACAATCAAAACAACAAAAGTCTCTACAGTGTTGACACCTCAGTTTTTGGAGTGTTCTGGAGGTGATACCTCAGTAAAATCGATACCCAATCAAAACATATCAAATAATACAACTCAAATTTATCTTCCAATAATATTATTCTATTTTTCCACATCACTTTTTCTGATTAAATTTCAAAACAATCATTTGTTTTGGTCCAACCAAAGTAATAGCCCACTTAATAGTCCACTTAGAATACAAAAAAAATCTAAAAGCCCTTGGATTTTAAAAACGTAGTAGGTAAGCTTCCGAGAATAACTCCACCGCCGGCGTCCGATCTTTCCACCGTGTAATCGTGGTTGACTCGCCGTACAGTCTCTTCCAATTGTGAAACCTCCGGTGCTTATGCCTCTGCTCCTGGCCAATCGTGTCGGCCGAGTTTCTTTTGCGTTTAGGATCATATGCTTTTATCACCGGAACTCGGCGTAGACAAGGATTTGCTCAATAAAGGAACAACAAAAGAAGAGGCTTAAGATTTATGTTGATACTGGAACCAGTAGCTCAAAGGCTGTGTATAAGTATTTCTCCAGTAAACTCATAGATCAAAGATCTTCCGAGGTTAGTAAGGAAAATGATTATGTGTAATGTGACACTGCTTTGATTAGTAATATACTAAAGATCTTATGTTTTTATCTATTGCATAGGTAAAAGCTCTCAGTATGCTAAGTGTAGAAGACAAAACTCGGGTTGAATCGGTTCTTGATTACATTGAGGATATCGATCTTCGACGTCGGATGTTACCATATATCAAAGCTTTCAGCTTTGGTCTTAAGGATTGGCGCTTAAGGATCAATTGTATTACTAATCCTTACATGTATGAACAGGTTTGATGCTTTATTTCGATTCTTTTTGGATACTTTGTCTATTCATTCACATTGTTTCCTTGTGGTCATTAAA